TTTATAGTTAAACGGTAATACCTTTAAGAATAAGTAAGACAATAATTTGAGCGTAGACAAGCTAAATCGCATGTAATATTTGATAATTTAGTTAGAATTCTAAAAGTGATCGAATGGGCATATAATATCGTTTAGTTACATATGCTTTGGAGAATAATTTAATTTAAGAAGAATCTATAAATGATTCTATAATAAAAAAAATGGATTTATAATGTTTGGAACATCAAAGAAATTTATTTAGATCTTGTACTGATTCTTCTATTAATACTCTAATAAAAAATAACATAAATCCTAATTTTTAAAGTGGAGGAAAAGAAAGTCCACATGAAAGTCAAGATTAAATAATGAGATAAAATTCAAATAATACTCATAATCCTAGACCTAGTTTTACAGGAATAGGAAGTACAAAATAAATGTCTACTTTAAAATTAATAAAATTAACTAGTAAAAAGCAAGAAAAGTAAGAAATTTTTGAAAAAATTGAATTAAAAGTACCTGAAAAAATAGTTTTATAAGATATATGTGAACATTCATCAGATTCTGATTTATAATCACCTGATAAGACTAAATTAACAAAATAGAATAGTTTCACATTTTGTGCATCAGCAGATTTCAAAACTTAATTAAAAATAGAGTATTATTAAAAATTAATCATTAATGAATTAGAAGGACTTGATAAATATTAAGAATATTAATTTTATTATCCTTAATATAATGTTGAAAAAGTGATTGAGACAATTAATGAGAAATATAAATTAAAAAGACTAAAATAATCTAAAACATTGATTAGAAGATAAAGTAGATATCTATCATCTTATCCAACTATATCAATAAGAAGGAAAAGAAGTGGAATTGTTGGTGAAGAAATTATACATGAGAATTGATAATAAATATATTATTACTTATCTCACTCATTCATCTTATCGAAATTAATATTATCAAAGGCATTTATACTTTGTTTGGTTAATAAATATGTCAAGCTTTCATCAAATCTTACTAGTTCTATTATTATTTAATAATATATAGATACCAAAATATTACATAAATTATCTAAATTGATCTACATCTTAAAATGCTAACAATTATGCTAAATAATCTAATTCTATATTTGATATATATCTAAGTATATTAATAAATTTATTTTACGTTTTTACTATTTATTTTAATGCTTTTACTCTAATTCTAACTAAAAAATGATTAATAATACTTCCCATAGTCTCACTAGATTCTTTATAATCTTTAAATAATTTAACATAATTTCCACATTTGTAAGATTCTCTTATCCTAAAAAAGATCATTAATTAATTATATACCCAAGAGCAAATTTAATTCTTTAATCATCAGGATTCTAATGTAATATTTTGACTAATTAATCTTATTTATTTAACATTGTTAGATAAACAATTCTATAACTATCAAATTCTACTTTATTTCCTATTAAATTTGCATCTTTCCCTTCACTTATGCTAATCATGTCATATAAATCACACAACATAGTCCAACAACTTTCATATCTTGGAAAATCTCCACATTCTAAACATATTCTAGCATTTTCTTCATAAACTTATATTGTAAATCTATTTTCTATATGTTGAACCAATAAATCTTATCTTATTGATCTAAATTATTCAATTGTAAAATTATAATCTGCTTAATAATTCTTCCATTTCTCCAAAATATGATTTAAAGCTTTTTTTAAAATAAATTCAGGTCTAATGGTATTAGGATCAGGCAAACCAGTAAGTCTATAATATGGTTTTTCTAAGTCTTCACAAGTTCCCTTAAAAATAAATTTAATTCCATTATACTGTAATTTTCATATTAGTTGAAATAAATTGGTCTTCTTCTTCTATTTTTTTTTTAATCTATTTTTATTGTTATTTAATCTATATTGATGCATTGGGCTGTAATTTTCCAAATTATAACATAGCCAAATCTATACTATAGTCAATTTTCTTATTTTTCATATGATGTTGATTAATAGTATCAACTTATTACTATTTCATTTAATCGTTTAAAGACATCAAATTTTGAATACTAGTAGATGCTGTAATTTCTATTATTAAGAACCATTACTTTACGCTGGTCCAATAGGTTGGGCTTAACTTGGAGCCCCAAATTTACTTGTTTAGCCTAATGAATTCAATGCCATAGCTGTGCTTTGTTTTATTTGGAGAGATTAAGAGATGAACGACTAATTTCGTATTTAATTCTCTCTAGGAAGTGTTGGCAATGGAAATTTAGACCAATCTCTTATACTGTATTCATTTTTGCGTTTGGCTTCTGCAATTGTAGCCTTTAAATATTGTTCCATGAGATTTCGCTCCTCATCAGATTGACATTTATTAAATGCCCTCTCTACATATTATTTAACAGTAACAGAGGATTATTCGTTAAATATTTCTCTGGTATTACAAAATCTAGCACCTATATTATATTAATTAAAATATTCATACTAACTAAATTAGGTATTTCAACATTTAATTTCCGATATAAGTTAGTGTATATCTTAATTTCATTTTCCCATCTTGAAGGTTGATCTAATTCTGAAACATCTACTGGAGGTAGAAATTGATTCTACTCTTTCTCGATCCTATCGCTCATTGTATTTTTTTATTATTAATCTTGTGTTTATTAAGTAATTTATGGTTGTTAAGGTTATTGTTGATTCACTTATTAGAGTGGTTAGGATACCTTTTATTAAGAATTCAAAGCAGGATTAGATTGTTGAATATACTATTACTAAGGTCTGTAAATGTTATTTAGATTACCCATCAGATTGTTTTGTTCTAGCTTAAAATAATCAAATACATTGGGCTTATAACATTTGATAATTATATGGTTGATATTGATTATATTAATATTGCTATGGCATCATTTACTAGTACCCATATGGCATATATTAATTATATCCATAATAATTTTGATACATAGTTTACTAAGATGATTAGTATGGATTTAAATTGATCTTCTCTGCTCTCATGGCATCTTCTATTGTTTATCTTTTATTATTATTCATTTTTAATTAAATGATTAATGTGTTTCAATATAAAACAATTTATCAATAGATAAATTATTTATTTACATGCTAATGATAATATACAAAACTAACAATATAATAATTTATAAATTGTCTATTAAATTAGTATTTGTTGTTGAGTTTGATTTATATTAAATAAAATGATTTTATTGACTCAATAATTAAATTAAAACTTCTTTACATTTATATATCTATATCCTCTTCTTTATTTATTCTATCTAATAATCAATTTTTTAATAGTTTAGAATCATCAAATTTAGGTCAATTTATATTTGTATAAAATAATAACCTAAGAGTTATATTTACTGAAATTTCATTTTTTTAAATAATAAATTTAAGATATGCTTATAAATATAGCTATTATTGATATTATAATGTATAATAATTAATTGATATATCATTGTTAAAAATTATTTATTCAATAACAATGATAAAATTATTTATGTATGTGAAATTTATTTATAATAGACTATCACTTTTATACTTATAATGTCATAAATCTGTTAATCTTGATAATTTCTATACTCTATTGAGTAAATAATCTCCCTATTTAATTAAATTATTATAGAGTTAGTTTCTATCATCAGCTCTAGAAGACTCGATAATTCCAGCTACTTTATCAATTTTACAATTAATTCTTCTTGATGATATTAATTCACTCAATTCTCTAATAAAATAAAATACAATTATACCTATCTATAAATTATACTGTAACTCCAAATGCTTTTGCCATATTATTTAATGTTACTGTTTTATAGCTTTCTAAAAACTATGAATAGAAAACTACTCTATATTCTCTAATTAAATATTTCCTATGTATACTCAAGTATTGATCATGAGATAGATTTTCATTAACAATTGCTATAATATGAATTATGTTTTATACCAAATTTCTAGAAGAGTGTTTTATAATCACATTATAAAAATGATTCCAAAAAACTTTTCAATACTTGATTCTCCCTTAATACTCCTACAACTTCTGGATTTTAATGCACTTTCTTTTTTAAAGATTATCTATCCAAACATATCATACTTGTTAATACTGTATAACTAACAATTTCATTGTAGGATATGATTTCAGATGAATTGAATGTAGCAACAGAATCTAAGAATAATTTACATGCTTTTGTGATATCTCTGATCATTAAACAATATATTCCTTCATAAACTTTGAGTCTATTCTTTCTTTCCCAATCACCTCCTTAATCCAATAATATTTATTATTAATTCAAATGCTCCTTGAATTTTTCAAGATTTCTTTATTTTAAATATATTTGTAAAATTAAGAAATGTACATCCATTTTTTTACCAATACCAATAGATTTTGGTAATGTATCAATATATGTTTTGATTGCCTTAAATAATAATACAAATGTACATCTTCATATTTATTATATTTTTATTGTAATGAGGCTTTTTCAAGCATTGCATCTCTAACCTCAACATCTCCCAAATTTTCTTAAGAATCTTTTATTTTATTTTCAACTGCCTCTAACTATTCTTCAAAAGTTTTCTCTTACTCCATTTTAATTTTAAATTTAATTAATACTAATCTCAATATCAGTTTTAATTCTTAGAAATGTAATAAACAATTTTATATATGTATAATGAAATACATTTAATAATTTAGAACTTTAATAACAATTACACTTTCTTATTAATTAATTTTATTTATGTGTTTGTTTCAAAAATGAATAATAATTCAAATTAGATAATATTAATTTAACAATAATTTTCAAATATTTAGTTTAATCAAATAATCATAAAATAATAAATAGAAATCTTTCATATCATAAATATATATACAAATATAAACAATTAAGTAAATATATTATAAAAAGTATATATAAATAATATCAACAAAAACACTTTTTTAATAATAAATTGATTTGTTGACAGTATTTTGACCTTATTTTATATAAACTATATAATAATTTTTAAATTAATATAAATACAATTAATGAATAAAATAAATTTATAAAAGAAACAAAAATAAAAATAAAAGTTTATTCCTTTAGGATTTGTAATCAAATACGATCCTCCTGTTATTGGTATCAAATAAATATATATATTAAAGGATTATTATATAAGAGAAGTATACAAGAAAATAAAAAAAAAGTTTATAACATTCATTTATAAAATCTAATAAAATTAGATGATGAAGTTGAGATAACCAAATAATTATTTGAAGAACATCCTGAATTTTTAGATCCTGATATCATTGAACCTGAATAAGTTTTAGGTTTAGTATAGAGATTGATCGAATTTAGATAAATAATGGAGAGAGATGATGATGATGAGGAATATTAAGATGAAGAAACTGATAGTCACATAATTGATGAAATGTTTGATTGATAATTTTATCTTGATATATATTTTGATCAATATTCAATTTTGATATGCATTAAAACATAAGAATTAGCTAAAGTTTTAAACTGAGAATTTAATAATGGAACAATTCTATAGCCTGTTCTTATATTAAGTGGAGACAAACAATACTAACCCAACAAGGAATCTCCTAACATGGAATAACTATAGGCTTATATATAGATAACATCTTATTATGCATGTCTAAGTTGAATAACACATTAATAATTAAAGATTGGATGATATCCATTATCTTAAACAACTTCTGTTCTCCATTTATCAGATTTGTTGACATCATCTTTATTTCCAGCAACTCTAATTTTAATATAAGGATCAACAATTTCTTCTTATCTACGTTTTTCTTCTTCCCAAATAATATGAGTAGCACTGATGATACGTACATATATGTTCATTTTTACATCTTGATTTGATTTTAATATATAAGAACTGTTAAGAAACATTCCATAATTTTACAACATAAATATATCTTTGGTTTGAATATTTAAAGCAACCAATTAAGCTCCTGCAATCCAAGAAGGGAATGGATCATAATTACTTGAATCAAATCTCAATCCTAAAGGATAAACTCTAACAAAATAATTATCAACATATTCTTAGAATTTACCATGACTCTTTTTTATTACATCTTATATTTTATCTTCTGAAACACTTGATACAATCCAAACTAATTCTGGTTTTTTATCTAATTTTAATGATACTGCATGTAATGAAGTTAATTCTAATAATTCTCTACATATTTTCTTATGATGTTCATCAAGAGTTTGACTAAATTATTTAACATTTGCTTAAAGATTTTAATCATCTTCATCATCTTCAAATCTAATCAACATATCATCATGAGATTATGTATAAAATAATGTTGAAGATTGAGTTTATAATTTCTCTTATAAAAATTGATCATCTGCTTTATATTTAATTAGAACCTTTCTTTACAATTATTATAAAGTAGAAAATCTTTCTTATTTATAATCTTTAATCACAAATAACATGTCTCCAAGAATACCTTATAAAAGTTCAGCTATTCTCTTTTATTATTTTAAACAACAATGCATTTCAAGTGATAAAATAGCAGGATTATTATCTTTACAAAATGCAAAATCTCTAACTGTCATAATAACATCTTTAAATTTAATATCATTAACTAATGTATGTCCATGAGTAACTTTTGGTTCACCATCTTCACCATCCCAACAATCTAATTCAACACATTTAAATCCCATTTTAAATGCATCTTAATATGCAAAACAACTTGATTCACCAGTTAATTAATTTGTTTCCAAATATGTATTATGTGATGAATTTATTAAATATTTAGTGATAGGTTAAGATTAATCTATTGTTGTTTATTAAAATAATGTGTTTTCTTCATTAAAAATGATATTCTAAAAATCATAAAAATTATATAATTTTCTTTTTGGTTAATAATCATTTTATCCTTGTTCTATTTTAAAAAACTATTATAAATCTTTATCTGTCATTAACATTGCTTAAAGTGGATCTTCAAACATTCCTTCTTATTTACTACTATATTTTTAATATAATTCTGTTAATTCATGTCTACGTGTTATGTCCATTAATAATTTATATAAGGTTGCTTCATCTAATTAATTATTCTTTTGATTTTTCTCAAAGATTTGAATTAATTTTCTCTCTGGAATCTCAATTTGTAATTCACCTATTAAGAATTAAAATTCCTTAAAGTTAAGTTTATTATCCATATCAATATCTGCTTTAGTTATCAATTTGAGAGCATTACTCCAAATTTAATTATAACTATCAAGTTATTTTTAGATTCTATTTGCTTCTTTAATCAAATAATCTAATCCTTCTTTAAATGTGATCAATTAGAATGGACTTTCAAAATACAACTTTATGTATTCACCTTATGTATTAATTATTTTTAATTTAGTTTGTTCCTTTTATTAAATATCTGATATCTAAGTGAGATCAAAATAAGTACTAAATGTGCCTTAGGGATCAAGCTAAGATACAGATATGATAGATGATTACCATTTAGATCATTCTAACCTCATTTGGACTTAACAATAAAATAATTTAAGTACGTTTCATCTTGTGTAATTTCACTTTTAATAGCACTCCATAAACTAATGAATTAACCCCTTAATCATTGATTTTATTCATAAATGTAGATTATAATTAAAAATATTGAAAGATAAATTATATTATTAATTTCATTTATTATCAGATAATAGTAATTGTTTGAGTAGAAAATCTGCTCCATTAATAGGTGGATCATGAGATTCAAATTTCTCAATTATTGGAACAATTGTTTATACTTCCCATTAATCTCTAAAACTTAAACGTTTATCAATCATTAAACACATTAATTTAACAATACTTTATTATAGTTCATACTCAATAGGAACTTATAATAATTGTATAATATAAGGCATTAATCCACTTTAAACCTTTTCTAAATATTTTTCATCTTCTATATTGAGATGACAAATTTTAAATATTGTATTGATTGCTTCTGCTTTCAAAAAATCAACATCTTTTATTTCAACAAAATACACATCACTTATAAGTACAACTACTTAGAAAAAGAGATCTAATTTATCTCTAAGATCCATATCTCTACTGATACATTTAGTGTATATTTTAAAACACATTGCCAAAACTTGTGCTGAATATAAGGCAAATCCTTTATGTTTTTATATTATTCCAATCAAAGTATTCATAATATCCAATTAAAGGAAGGCTTCAATATTCTATACAATAGTCATTAATGAAAATATCAATTTCAAAGTATATAATAAGACATTTTAATTATTAGTTGATAATTTACTATTAATAAGAGCTATTCCATTTTCTTTCATGATTTAATACTTAAATTCTTTTGAATTTGCACACATATTATAAAGAGCAACACAAGCATAAGTACTTAACATAGGATGATCAGATTAATATACAATTAATAATGGTGATATTAATCCTTTTTGAAGATTTATTATTTATTCTGTAATTTATTCTTTATCTTTTGAATGATATGTAATAATATGTTTACAAGTAGCTAATTTAGTAGTTTTACCATGAATAAGTAAATGCATTAATAAATCTATATATAATTATTATTGATCTTTCTTTAAAAGTTCTTCTTTAAATAAATCTGTATCTAAAAATGATATCATAACTCTTTCATTAAAAATATATTTTTAATAAGCTATTTTTGGAAATTTTTTAGATACTTCTTCTATAATGAAATCATTACTAACTCCTGATTATTCTGATACAGAATATAAACAGAAATCAAATATCTTTAAAACATCATCCTTATAATTATTATGTGCTTTCATTATAGTCTTAAATTTAAAACTAGAGTCATAACCACCATCTAATTAAGAAGCAAGGTATCTTGATACTTTATATATGTATATCCTGTCTTTTTCTTATTTTTATTTATCACTAAGTTTAAGTTCAGAAAATTAGTTTTTTGTACTCTTTTTAAATCCTTCTAAAATAACAGAAGGTCTTTTATTCTAATCTAATTCTTTTTCATTATCAGATTTATTAAATAATATTTTAAATCCCTAAATTATAGGAATAACTAATATTTCTCTAATTTTTGGAGTTATTTAATGTTTTTATTAAACATAAAACATCCAATCTTCATCAAAAACTAAACTATCAGCCATTAATTATATGAATCCTTTATATATAGGATCCATAGGTTTTAAATCAGATGCATAAATAGAATCTGCAGCATCTCTCATAATATTCAACCAATAAAAATCTGAATATAATTATTTAAATGCAGCAATATAAGCTTCTCCTGCATTTTTTTTTTCTTCTTCTCCATCTTCTTCATTTTCAGATTCTTATAATTAATCTTCTAATTCTTATTATTCTTATTCAGCCTCAGGATTTTTATCTTCAACTTTACATTTTGGATCATAAAGAAATGTAAGTACAATATCTACAAAATTTTCTAAATATGGTGGATGATATTTCCTTCTCATCATAATAACAGCATATTCCATTTCAATAATCTATTTAGCAGCTCTTTTCTTTTTAGTTCCTTATTAAGGTTCATCTTAATGTTTCATAATAACTTTAGCTCTTGTTTACCAACATTTCCATTCTGCCAAATCATTGTACAAATTTCTTCTTTTAAAATATGGTGCTGAATGAGTTATCCAATATTTTTCTTCTTCTGCCAAAGCATTATGTACATAATATTCAGCATAATATTATATATCTATATGATTGTGCATATGTTCCAATACCTCAAGTTCATTTGTTTCTGAAACTTATAAAGTAAATTAAGATTTGTTTTATCCATTTCGATACAACCCTTTCTTAGTATTCTAATAAGAATTAGGAAAAAATATGTTATATCCATTTAACATATGCATATTATATTTATACATTTCTTAATTCTCCATCAATTCTACTTATGGTTTCTTTAGCATTGTCACTTAATAATTATAATCTCTAAACTTTCCTTTATAAGTAGGCAATTCACGCACCTCTAAAAACTTATGCATATAATCTGTTTTCCAACCTTACTAAATAAACTTGATCAAATCTCTTCTTTCCAAACTATGAATATTCATTTTTAATGGAACATTTTTTGGTCTTTTTGCATTGAAATGAATCTATAATAAATATATATCCTATGATGACACAATCAAACGATCAATACATTAAAAACTTACTTTTGCTTCCAATATATCAAATCCTTCTTTCAAAAAGAATATTGAAGTATTACCCAATATTATAAAATATCGATTCTCATTATGTTGAATCAAAGTCATATATTCTACACCCATTTCAAATAGAGAAGATAAAGCTGTCTTAGTTGTCACACTAATCATTTATATGAATATTATTTATTTATTTTATATAATATTATCTTTACAACATTATATATATATATATAATTATATTATGGATAGTCCAGTCACAATATTTTCATTTATAGGAAGTAGTGCCACTGGTTTTGCCCTATATTAACTTATACCCTTGCTTTATCAATTAAAGAAGAAATACATTGAATTCTAATAAATCAATGAATTTACACCTACATCTCTAATGAATTACTTCAATCAAACCTAACAAACTACAGTTGAAGCATTTATTGCAGGAGAATTGATTTCTGATAGTCCAATAATTTCAAAGGTTCCACTCATTTTAAGTGAAAAGAAAATCTATTACATATATGAAAATGGCATGTATGAACATGTTTTTATTTCATAGAAAAAAATTAATCAAAACTCTCCAACATGGTGCATCTTAATTAAGTGTTGCTGATTATTATAATAAAATTGAAATATGGAAAAGTTCAACTCTTAATTATCAATATTCCATGAGTCATATATGGGATAGATTTCTACCTAAATAATTAAGTATTTTTTAAAGATTAGCTAATTTCATTCTAAAAACAACCAATTTAATCAAAACAAGAAAATTATTCTTCAAAGGTTTTCATACTGGACTATTAGAAAGAGAATTTGGTATCATAGCAAAAGAATTCTATGTAATCTATGGTGAAATTATACTTGATAAAAAGCTAAATAAAATGTTTCTATAAAATCCAAAATACATATTAAAAAGCAAGAAATAATTGTTATAATTAATATAATAACAAATTAAATTCAAGAGAATAACAATAGCAATCCTTGTTACTATATTTACTATTTGGACATATATTTTTGGTTGCAGTATAAAAAATTTAATTTTTAAATTTCTTAAAGATAGAGAAAAGAAAAGATTAGATAAATTAAGAGGATAAAAATACCTAGAAATTAATAATTATGAATGTTAGATCTGTTATGAAAGACCTAGAAACATTATTATTAAACCTTGCAAACATCTAACCATCTGTCATGAATGTTTATNTCAAATCCTTCTTTCAAAAAGAATATTGAAGTATTACCCAATATTATAAAATATCGATTCTCATTATGTTGAATCAAAGTCATATATTCTACACCCATTTCAAATAGAGAAGATAAAGCTGTCTTAGTTGTCACACTAATCATTTATATGAATATTATTTATTTATTTTATATAATATTATCTTTACAACATTATATATATATATATAATTATATTATGGATAGTCCAGTCACAATATTTTCATTTATAGGAAGTAGTGCCACTGGTTTTGCCCTATATTAACTTATACCCTTGCTTTATCAATTAAAGAAGAAATACATTGAATTCTAATAAATCAATGAATTTACACCTACATCTCTAATGAATTACTTCAATCAAACCTAACAAACTACAGTTGAAGCATTTATTGCAGGAGAATTGATTTCTGATAGTCCAATAATTTCAAAGGTTCCACTCATTTTAAGTGAAAAGAAAATCTATTACATATATGAAAATGGCATGTATGAACATGTTTTTATTTCATAGAAAAAAATTAATCAAAACTCTCCAACATGGTGCATCTTAATTAAGTGTTGCTGATTATTATAATAAAATTGAAATATGGAAAAGTTCAACTCTTAATTATCAATATTCCATGAGTCATATATGGGATAGATTTCTACCTAAATAATTAAGTATTTTTTAAAGATTAGCTAATTTCATTCTAAAAACAACCAATTTAATCAAAACAAGAAAATTATTCTTCAAAGGTTTTCATACTGGACTATTAGAAAGAGAATTTGGTATCATAGCAAAAGAATTCTATGTAATCTATGGTGAAATTATACTTGATAAAAAGCTAAATAAAATGTTTCTATAAAATCCAAAATACATATTAAAAAGCAAGAAATAATTGTTATAATTAATATAATAACAAATTAAATTCAAGAGAATAACAATAGCAATCCTTGTTACTATATTTACTATTTGGACATATATTTTTGGTTGCAGTATAAAAAATTTAATTTTTAAATTTCTTAAAGATAGAGAAAAGAAAAGATTAGATAAATTAAGAGGATAAAAATACCTAGAAATTAATAATTATGAATGTTAGATCTGTTATGAAAGACCTAGAAACATTATTATTAAACCTTGCAAACATCTAACCATCTGTCATGAATGTTTATAAAGATTTAAGTAATCCAAATGTCCAATATGCAAATAATAGATAGAAGATTATATTGAAATCTTTTTTACTTGAAATTAATATAAGATAATTGATTATTATATCAACATTCATCTATATCCTAATAAACATATTCATCAACTTCTGCTAAATTCTCTAGTATTTCAATTATTCTGGCTTACTTTAACTTCTCGCATTCCTACTCATTTTTAGCCAATAAGGACCCTGTAAAACATACTGCATTAAATGATACTCCATTATAATTAGCTTTTTTTCGAACTACTATCATCATAAACTCTTAAGTCATTATTAAATTATGTTTCAAATCCTATATGTTATCTACTTAACATTTATTTAATAATCTTTCATAAGTCTCGTAAATTAAATTCTATTACTATTATTCATCACAATTCTTGCTTTATAATTAATCCTGATTAAAAAATAAAATGAAATGTTTAATCTTTTTTAAATACCTTAACCTTATGAATTTATTTTACTCTTTCACACTTCTCTCAAATTACCATTCTCTTATATGATTTAATATATTTGCACTTTAAAATGCTAATTTAGACACAATTTAAACATGTTTGTGATCTAAAGAAGCCCCTGCTTCACTATGAGAATTAAAAAATGCAAATCCTTCTACTGCACATAAAATATCATAAGTTAAACTTAAGTATTCTTTGCTGAACTTTTCAGACTAATGAATAAATTATTCTGGCACCAATAATGTATGATATGGATTTACAGGATATTTATTTAATAAAAGATTATATTTCTAAAGTTTCATTACTAATTATCCTTCTTCAAAAGGTTCAATTAAAGGATTAATCTATATTTATATTCCTACTTACATTTTATTAATAACCCACTGGTTTCTTTGCCAGAGATTTCACTAATTTTATATGAAACTCTATTCCTTATTCATTTTTAGAAAAAGTTTATAATATATCAAATGGTTCAACAAACCCTTTATTAGTACTATCATTGTAACATTTTACAATCTATTATTTTATATTCTCTCTAAACTCTCCTTTTGTAAACTAAATATACCAAATACTCACTCTACCCCTCTAAATATTCGGTAAATTCCATAACTAAATCCTATAGCAATAACTCCAAATAACCCTTTTGAGCATATTTATAATTATTTCATAAGTAAATTAATTTAATAAAACTATATAATATTATGTAAATAATGATAGCTATTTTTAGAGAAAATAATTATTCTATGGATTGCTATTAAAGTAATATATTTTAATCATTTAGATATATACATTTTATTTATGTTTCATTTATGATTTATATAATTATTTGTTAATTTAAGATTATCATCTTCTTTTTTTTTTGATTCTAATCTTCTTTAAGTACTTTTTCTAACAATATTTTCATCTAAATAATATATAATAAAGATACAAATTCTTGATTTTGTTATCATTAATTCAATACAAAATCCAAATATAAATGCATTTCTAAAATGTTTAATATACATTTTTCTTGCTTTTTATTAAACAGTTTATAATTTCTCTGCTGTCACTTCAAAAGTATAAAACTTTCCTAATTTCTCTTAATCTTTTGATTATTTAGACATTTTTTATATATATTATATATTATATATTATATATAAATCAATCAATTTTATTAATTATGCTGATTATTTATTTTAAGTTAAATCCTATTTTTGATATTAAATAGTTTGTCAATGACATTTCTATAACTTGATTAAAAAGAATACTTAGTTGCAGTAGTTAATTAATTAAGTAAACAAATATTTAATGAATATTTAACTTTAAAAATATCATAATATGAGAGTAAGAACTTCAATTTTATTTGAAGGGTTATTATAATAAATTAATATTTCATAAATCAATAAATAACTATATTATAATTAAATCATTAATCATGTTTGACTAAGAATAATTAACAGAATTATAAAAGAGAGATAAAGTATTAGTCTCTGCTAGTTTTAGGATAAAAAGTTAAACTTTGAATTACCGTTCTATATTGGGAATTCTTAAGGTGTTTGTAGAAGAGATATTCTCATTTAGTGGGTCATTTCGGTAATTAAAAAATATAATTTCAGTAATCTTAATATTTTAAGCACAGTATCAAAACCTTAGAATTAGCAGTGATATACATAGATACTTATTTAAACTTTTTTAATATTGGACCTTAATATTTAGAGCTATTGGGCATATCTGCATATTCATTAGCTTCTAAAGTAATTAATTTTAGTAGTATGAAAGTTTAATGAAACAGAAGCAATAGGTCAAATTAAGTTGTAGAATAATTTAAGTTAAGAATTATTTGATGATCAAGAATACAATGAGATGGAAGTTCAGTTATTAAAATCTTTAGAATTCCAATTGAATTATATTACTCCATCAGATTATTTGATTGCTATGGGCATTTAAATAGATGAAAGCATCTCTAGTCTAATTATGTTTGTTTTAATGGGTAAATTATATGTTATATCATTTATTTAGATTTCGAAATTTATAAACATTCTTAGATTGTTCTAGCTTTAGCTATTTTCAACTTTTCATAAGATCAGTCTAACATGTTTACAGATAGAGTTAAATCTGTGACTAAATTGATAAAAAATAAGATAAATAAAGCATAAGATCAATTTAACTTGGATAAAACTGAAAATGATGAAACAGGTGTGCTTGAATCAAATTTATGCACTAAAAAAAAAATATACAAAAGAAGAGAGTCAAAAAAGTTAAAACAATTAGCATGAATGGCTTATCTTGATTGGTTTCAATGAATTTGATCTAAGGGGAGATCATATTAAAAGTTATTATTTCATTTCATTTCTTTTTTATTTTCCTTTTAAAGGATCAAGAATACAAAATAGAATATCTTCATTAGAACTCAAATACATTATTTAAATTAAGAATTCACCTGTAAAAAATTAAAATAATACTTTAAATTTAGTAAACTTTTTTAATTGAAGCAACAAAAAATTCTAATCTAAAATCTAATAGAAATTTTTTAAATAATTTATTTGGTATAGTTCTTGTATATTATATACAATTAAATCCTCTTTTCTTTATTATCAAATATAAATTTTATCTATCAATTTATTTTTTTCAACTAATAAATTTAAATTGTAAAAAATTTAATGAGATCATTTAGTTTCCTTATAATATTAATAATATGATCTTATATATAATATTACTATTGATTTTTCTATCGTATTCTATTTTTGGACTTTAGTTGACCAACAATTTATTATTAATTAATTTTTTTATTAAAATTATATTATAATTCTTATGATTGAAACATGAAGTAAAAGTTCTATTTGAATTAACTAAGCAATTTCGTTAGAAAAAATATATTGTGAAATTTATATTTAAAAAAGAATAGAGAACAATAAAAATATGAATCAAACAAAGAATGGAACTAATGGACTTTATGTTTTCATCAATATTTATTACATCTAAATATTTTATTTTTATACCATATTCTACAATTACTAATACTATTAACATAGACTCTGATACTTTTAAGTTAAAACAACATTCTCTTGAAATATATTTGACACTTAACCTTAATATATTAAATTCTAAAATAACTCTTTAAATTTACCTGATTTGTTAGTTATTGGATAATAAGAAGTTATTATTTGTTTTTGTCTTCTAAGACTGAAATAGGTTGTTATATCATTTATTAAGCAATTTTATCTATCTAATTCTTTTATTCATTTTCTTCTTCAAGACCTAGATTAGGATAAATATATTATATTACTTTAGTCTTTGGTTACTACTTAGTGTCTTTTAAACATTTAACTTTGTCTTTTTTTGTTCTTTCGAATGACTTTTTTACAAGATCTTCCTTCCTTCTTGAAAATCTACATGATGGCCTTGGCAGTTGAGAAGTTGATACCAAGTAATTATGCTGCACTTTTTATTGTGCATCCAGTTGATGTGACTTATTTGATCAAACCCTCTCTCTAATCGTTAGTTATTTTTGCATACTTGAGTCCATGTTTACCTGATTTAAAACTTAAATATTATTTTACCTCTTCTTCTTTTTGTCATCTCTTGTTCATTTGATGATTAAATCAATAATTTCTTNCTAAAATCTAATAGAAATTTTTTAAATAATTTATTTGGTATAGTTCTTGTATATTATATACAATTAAATCCTCTTTTCTTTATTATCAAATATAAATTTTATCTATCAATTTATTTTTTTCAACTAATAAATTTAAATTGTAAAAAATTTAATGAGATCATTTAGTTTCCTTATAATATTAATAATATGATCTTATATATAATATTACTATTGATTTTTCTATCGTATTCTATTTTTGGACTTTAGTTGACCAACAATTTATTATTAATTAATTTTTTTATTAAAATTATATTATAATTCTTATGATTGAAACATGAAGTAAAAGTTCTATTTGAATTAACTAAGCAATTTCGTTAGAAAAAATATATTGTGAAATTTATATTTAAAAAAGAATAGAGAACAATAAAAATATGAATCAAACAAAGAATGGAACTAATGGACTTTATGTTTTCATCAATATTTATTACATCTAAATATTTTATTTTTATACCATATTCTACAATTACTAATACTATTAACATAGACTCTGATACTTTTAAGTTAAAACAACATTCTCTTGAAATATATTTGACACTTAACCTTAATATATTAAATTCTAAAATAACTCTTTAAATTTACCTGATTTGTTAGTTATTGGATAATAAGAAGTTATTATTTGTTTTTGTCTTCTAAGACTGAAATAGGTTGTTATATCATTTATTAAGCAATTTTATCTATCTAATTCTTTTATTCATTTTCTTCTTCAAGACCTAGATTAGGATAAATATATTATATTACTTTAGTCTTTGGTTACTACTTAGTGTCTTTTAAACATTTAACTTTGTCTTTTTTTGTTCTTTCGAATGACTTTTTTACAAGATCTTCCTTCCTTCTTGAAAATCTACATGATGGCCTTGGCAGTTGAGAAGTTGATACCAAGTAATTATGCTGCACTTTTTATTGTGCATCCAGTTGATGTGACTTATTTGATCAAACCCTCTCTCTAATCGTTAGTTATTTTTGCATACTTGAGTCCATGTTTACCTGATTTAAAACTTAAATATTATTTTACCTCTTCTTCTTTTTGTCATCTCTTGTTCATTTGATGATTAAATCAATAATTTCTTACATTCCTACTCTTGCTCTGCTAAACTGAAAGAGGAGTCTGAGTCATTATTACTATGTGAGCCTTGTCTGGAGCAAATTTCTTAATCATCCACATAAGAGGAATGGTGTGAATTAAGTATTTGACACTACTAGATTTATCCTTTTGGATCCATATTTTACAAACAAATCAATTTTAAATTAAATCAAACTAAATTATGAGATATATTAAGTGATGAATTAAATTGAGACGACGTCATTGTAATAATTATGTCTCTATTAAGAATATATTAATTTTTATTACACAAACAACTGTTTTTATTACATTAACATCATTAAAATGAATATTTCATCATATTATTTTGATAATCTATTGTATTCTAAAATTAGTGATAGCCATTGTTATAAAATTCAGTTAGTCAATATTTTTATAAAAATTATTTGAGATTAACAATTACTATAATGAAACATAAACGAAACAATATAGATGATTAAATAAGGCACACTTATTTTTTTAAAAGATGCAATTATTAATTATTCATCATAAATCAAATTTTTAGTCAAATTTTTCTTATTATATATATTTTGGGTGCTTAATTCATTTTTCTAAATTAAATGAATTATATATACAATAGAAGTAATAAATAGTTGGAAATATTAAAAAATTAAGAAATAATTAAGATTGATTTCATTCATTATTAATAATTTAATGTATGATTATTAATAATTAAATTACAAACATTTTTTAAGAATATTAATAAAATTGATTGATTTATATATAATATATAATATATAATATATAATATATAATATATATAAAAAATGTCTAAATAATCAAAAGATTAAGAGAAATTAGGAAAGTTTTATACTTTTGAAGTGACAGCAGAGAAATTATAAACTGTTTAATAAAAAGCAAGAAAAATGTATATTAAACATTTTAGAAATGCATTTATATTTGGATTTTGTATTGAATTAATGATAACAAAATCAAGAATTTGTATCTTTATTATATATTATTTAGATGAAAATATTGTTAGAAAAAGTACTTAAAGAAGATTAGAATCAAAAAAAAAAGAAGATGATAATCTTAAATTAACAAATAATTATATAAATCATAAATGAAACATAAATAAAGCTAAAATAAATTAACATTTCTATTAAATTGCTTTATCATGATCTTTGATTTAATATCATCATTGATCAATTGTGATTAAGGATTTTTTGAACAATCTTTTAATTCTAAAGGGCATTAAATTAATCCATTATTTAATATTAAAAAATCAGAAGTCATATTAACCTAATAAAAAGTGATATTAGATTTTTGATATTTTTTCTAACAATTTTTTTATAGTCTTAAAAAATGGAAAAATAATATTAATTTCTAAGTAAAATATACTTTCATTACTTATAAAATATAAAATCCAATATATTAATACTAGACATTCTAGTAAATCAGTTTGAAATAAATATATATAAACAAACAATTTAATTTATTTCAATCAATATATATCCTCAAAGTTGTCCTTTTTTAAAAGAATACTTTCAAAAAACAGTAAATCCTTATAGAATATTATAAATTTTTAAATAGTTAACAGAGAATATCAACAAATTTATTATTAGAATTGTTTTTAATAAAGATTTAAATTAATTATTGGTTCTATATTGAATCTAAAACCTTTACTTTAGATTCTTAATACCAGCTATAGGATATTCTTATTAATTAAATTACAAGTATTTTTAGAGTTTTACAATATAATGGATTATAATTGTGTAATCTTTTTCAGATATAGAATAATAAACAATCTTTATCAGGAATATTAATTGAGTGAATGAAAAATAAAGAGGTAATTTTTGTATAAAAAATTGAAAATGCCTTAATTTCCAAGAATTAATGAAAAAGGAATAAAATATTAATATTTGAGTTTTATAAAAAACTGAAATTTGTTCATAAAATGAGAATGATAATTTAATGTATTTATAAGTTAAATAAAATCATAAGATTAGCTATTCGTTCATTAGAAAAGCTGGCACTCTTTATTTTTTTTAAACTAGATCTCTAAATTATTAGAATCATTTACTCTAAAAATAATTTTAAAACACCACTAGATTTATTCATTTCTAAGAATATTTTTGTTTTATCATATTTTTTTATTTTTTAGATTTAGTTTTTATCAGGTTTTGAGAAAGGATCTTAATGAATTGAAAGAGGTCGATTTAAGTTATGATAGAGAAATAAAGGATCTTCTTTCATCTAAGCATAATTTGATCTAATTTCATCATGAAAGTTTTTCAATTCTTTTTATTCCATGAATCGTTTCTCATAAGGTATATACCAATGGTTATAAAATTTAGGTTTAGGTGAAGGTGATAAATGTTCTGAATATCTTGAAGTCTTATTATTTTCAATTAATTTTGGTAAGGATTTAAAATTATTCAATCTTGAACTCTATGCTTCTTTTATGTGAATACTCTTTGCTCTTGGCTATATTTTCTGTTATTTCATCAATAACAAAGTTTAGAAAGTTTATATATAATAATTAATAAATAAATTTAACTTTTAGAGTAAATTAACTTAGTCAAATATTTTTAGTTACTCTTGTTGTCTATTATTAAAGTGTCTATAAGTATTCTTCAGCTTGTTTTAAATTCATCTTTAAAATTTCATTTTCTTTTAATAAATTATCATATTATAATTAAGCAGTCACAGTGGCTTTAGTAGCAAAATATGTTGAAATTGATTTTGGAATAGAATATGCAATTCCAAGAACAAATATTCCCATAAGGATATATTTAAAAGACACTTACCCTATAATTTTAGCTTTTGATAAAATATTTTTATAAATGAAAGTAAAACTTGCTTTTTAAGCATCTTTAAAATTAGTAAACTTATGTTTCTATTGATTGAAATTTTATGAATATTAATTATTAAGATTAGAAGCATCTTATTAAAATTTATTAAAATATTTATTCCAAAAGTTTTGTGTTGATCCATCTTATTTAGATTGATTTTAATTCTATTATTTATATTAGTTTGTATAATTAGTTTATGTTTAATTAGTTTATTATTATTATTTATATGATGATTAATTATTAGAAGATGATTTCCAAAAAGTACTGTTTTTTAAACTCTTGAAAGAACTTTATAGTTTTAGATTATATTGTTGTAATGTTTCTTTAGGGAAGGTTTTTTACAATTAATTAATGTATAAGTCTAGGAATCAAATTTAAGAATATACCTTTTTCTTTTTTTGCAAATCCCTTAAGTTTTTTCATTGGATCACTTAGATATACATCTTTTAGAACTAGAATTTAGATTGATTAGTACTATTAGAATATTCTTTGAAATTAGACAAATGATCAAAACTTGGTTTAGTTGGATCTTTAGCATTATTCATTTGATTGATGTAGATTTTTTCATTCTTCAATTATTATGTCACTTTATTGGCAGACACTTTAGCTTGATTAACAATTTATAAAATTTTTTAGAGCATTTTAATTTTATTAATGGATTTTAATTTACTTATCATTTATCATCAATTTTTTTCATTTTTCTTATTTGCCTTCAATAATCATAGTCATATTACGATGAGGTCTTCTTGTACCATCTTTGGGTGAATTTTTATTTGAATTGGAACCAGATCCTTCAGTATTTGATTTAGGTTCTTATCCAAATCTCATAGCATTTATGAGCATTGTGACTCTTCTAGGCATAGGTAAGAATGAATGAGAATTTTTAAAATTTAATTTTTCAATTTCTTTTTTCCTTTCATTAGTTTTATCAATAGTTTTTCTTTTTTCTGGTAATTAATGAAAAGATACTCTAATTTTTGAGTTTCTTGGTTTATCTTCATTTATTTTATCAGATTAAATTAATTAATGCGAAATATTCGAGTCTAATTCTATAACTAAGACATCACTTTTTACAAAACCATTATAATTGTATCCACCAAAAATGAAAATTTTAGTATCTATACAAGAAGAAGAATGACCACATCTTCCAGGCATTTATGCTCCTTTTAATTCTAATTAAATCCAAGAGGAATTCTTAACATCAAATAAAAATAAATCATTTAAGAATCCTTCAATAGTATTGTCATCATTTTTTCCACCATATACAACTATTGCACTTAAAACTTCATTGTAATTCATGGAATGTTGACATCTAGCAACTTAAAAATTAATAATAATTTCTTACTAGGACCACTTCCTTTGTAATCAACTTACTCAATACGAATAGGTTTTTAGTATACATCAATACGAATAAAAGTATCTAAATAATTTCCAAATTTATCTTGGCCTCCAAATACATAAATTCCTTAATTTGAAAACTTTAGATCAGGATCTTGTCTATAAATATCACAAAATTTATTCTATGTGACCAAACAAGATTTATGAAAAGCAATTCCATTTGCATATAAATCAAATGGATCTACATTCAATGAGACCCATTTAGATTATGATATATCATAACAAAGTAAATCTTTCATATAATTGCCTCTGTTATCTATTCCTCCAAAAATCAATAAAGATCTTCCAATTATTTCACCTATGTGACATTTTCTTGGAGGAATAGTGCCAGGCTATTTGATCAATTTAATATCAAAAGATGCTTTATACATTCAAATAATGTTTACTCAATGAAATTGTTTTAATATCACTGGTGCATTCACTAATTAGTTTATGATTAGATTATTCAATATGAATTTCTCCACCAAATAGAATCATAAAATTCTTATAGATTCCAGCAGTGTGATGAACTCTGTATCCATGTATAGATTTTTCATCTAATTTTTAAGGGCTCCATTTATAAAATTCTAGTTTCTATATTTATATATTACATTTATCAACTATGGCCACACATAAATCCTCTTATTATACTGAACTAGAACCTCCATATAAATAAAGTTTTCTATCAAATGTAACCATAGAACTTCCATCTCTTGAACATGGACCCCAGAAATTATAATCATAATTATAAGCATAAGCAAATTATTTTTTAATTTAATTTAATGCCACTTATGATTCAAGTATTCTTTTTTATAATTATTAAGCATCAGAGTTTCTTTCTTATAATTATTAAACACCTCCTAATCTTACCTATTTTCTAAGTAATTCCAACTTTTATTAATCTTAATATGCTAATGAAGGATAGACTTTTATTCCATTTGTTTATGTATGAATCTTTTTTAATGCTTATTTAACTTAGTTTATTTAATCTTCTTCTTATTATTTGTATTACTTCCTCATTTTATGAAATGTCTCTCTATTATGAATTAATTATAATTTTCGAGATGTATAAAATTGTTATTGATCAACACTATCCATTTCTATCTCATCTAATGATGGCTCTCCAAATAGATATTTACTGTAATTATTCCAAACCATTTTTGATTATTACAATGATCGTTTTAATTCTGAAACTGCCCCTTAATTTAGTTCTCTAAATGAAACAAAGTTTTAAACATCACTATCTGGTTACATTTGAAGTAAATCACAATTCTCATTTATTGCCATAGGATAAAATTGATTCAAAGGAAGTGGACTTAATTTATTATGTGTCTTTTTATATTTTTCGAATATGGTTGTAATATCCATTTTTGTATTTGTATGATAAGAGAGAGAATTTACTTTGGGACTTAGGCTGTCCATTTTTTATTATTATTTAATATGTAAAAATCCTGGGAAACCTTATGTAAAAATCTTAGAAGTCCATTTCTTTAACATTTCTTAGATATTTAAACACTTATTGATGATCTTGGTCAATAAATAGATTAACCTTAAATATCTCATGAAATTGCAATTCAAATTTAAGAAATGATATCTCAAATAGTTTAGATGTATGTTTAAATAATAAGTTTAGTATAGATATTGAACATTAGCATTTACTTGATGGATTTGAATAGAGTGTTTTATTATTTGCATAAATTGATTCAGAAGATAAAGTAAAGTAGTTTGAAACATTAAATCTCATATAAGAGTTATTTAATAAATTAGCATTATCATATTTCTATAATGATGATCTTTTAGATGAAAAGAAGATTTAAATGCCTATAAATGATGGTACATCCACTTGTTCTGATTTTTCAGATGATAATTTTGAAGTTGAAGACTATGAATGTTAAGTTGCTTAAGAGCTCTTTTAATAAATAAAAAGTCAATTATAAGATACTGAAATTGAATAGAAATGTTATTAATTCCATTTTACAATATTTTAAGAGTAATTAAACATTATTGATTTTTTTAACGATTCACTTGAATTATAAATTAAAGAATATGATGTGATTGTATTTTTAAATTATTCAGGACTACTTTAAAAATTAATGAATTATAAATTAGATAATTAATTGGAATACTTTGTAGGCTAATTATTTATAATACTAAACAGAATTAAAAATGATGAAATAGATTAATTGATTGAAGCAAATTGTTTTGAACTTAAATATAGTAGATTATCATAAAGGAAATTTATGAGATGTAAGATTTTATCCAATTTATATACTAAACTTGTATATGAGAAATTAGATAGATGGAGAACAAATTAAAATGTTTAAGAAATTCAAGGTGAAAATTTAAAATCTTTGAGACGTTTTATTATTTAACATAAAGCTCCATTAAGTAGATGGGAAGTGAGTATTTTATCTATTTAAGATGTTTAGATCAATAATGAAAATATTTTAGATAAATTTTAAAAATTAGTTATTGCTTTATCATTACCTTATGATTTACTTTTAGAGAATTTTACTATATTAGATAAATTGTATGTTAATTTATAATAATTCTAAAAATGGTTTAAATTAAGTTCAATTCCATTTACAGTTTCTGAAATCTCTTAATTATTTAAAGAAGTCAGTTAAACTTATGGATATTATACTAATTAAGGTATAAAAGTGACATAAAGAATTGATTTCTATTAATTTTTAGAAACTGTTTATGCTCTTAATCAAAATTAAAACAGTATCAAAGAGAAACCAGAAGGTAAAATTGTTAAATATAATGATGAAATTACTCTTCAATAATATAATCGACATTTATAACTCAAAGTAAATGATTTGTAATAATAACTGAATTAAAAAGATATTCTTATTGATTAATTAAAAAAGAATTAATAAGATTCTTAATAAACATCAAGAATCAAAACTAAATCTAATAATGAAATTAAAGATAAGGAATCTGAACTTAAAATAGAATTATTACATTAAGCAGAAATAAACTCTATTAAAAATGAAACTTAAAATTAATTGAAAATAATTGAACTTAAATGGAAAAATAAAACTAAAGATTTGTTATTTGAATTAGAAAATAAGGATAAATAAATTGATTAATATAGATAATAATTAGAAGCCTTAATGAAAGAATTTGAATGGGTAAAAACAGAAAGAAGAATTAAATGATTTTAAACTTTAATATTTATATAATAATAATAATTATGAATTTGAAGAATTTATTACTTTCAAATTTTATAAATAAGAATTAATATATATTTGTTAATTTTTAAAGAACTTTTTTAGTTTTTAGAATGATCAGATTTTTATATTAAAATTGTCATAATCTTTGCTTAATAAATTGTTTTAATAATGGTACAGCTACTTTTGGTTCATTTAATTACAAACGTCCAGATACCTTTGTAGCTAATTGCAATAAAGTGGGAGGAGCATAATCTATAAAATATACATTGTTATATTACCTTCATTATAAGTCATACAGAAACAAACAGTCTTAGTACTAGGTCCAGCCACTGGTGTATGACCTTAAGCAAATTCACCTAAATAATGTGAGAGTTCACATAATATATCTGCTGCATTGTCTTTATTTACTTCAATTGTTGGTGGACATCTAATAATATATTTAAATATAATATACTTAGGTTATGGTAATGGACCAGGAGGTTCTGTAACTTCTTCTTCTTCTGAAGCTGGTTAAGATTCTTCTTCTGAAACTGGTTCTGAATGTTCTTCTTCAGGTTATGATTCTGGTTCAACTGATTCCTCTTCATATAATTCTTCTTCATAATATTCTGTTTCTTCTTCACTTTCTGGCACAGATTCCTCATCAGGTTCAGGTAATGGTTCATCAATTACTTCAGGTGTTTCCTCTTCAGATACTGAAGGTTCTACTGGTGTTTCTTCCTCACTTTTAGGTGGTTCAGATGGAATAACAGGAGTCTCTTCTTCAGGTTCAATAGGTACATCCTCTTCAGATGGTTCAGATGGAATTGCAGGTAGAGGTGGTTCAGTATATTCTTCTTCAGAGGGTTCTTCTGGAACTTGAGGAGGTGGGGGTGGTACTGGATCAGTTGGTTTAGGAGTATATCCCCAATGTTCATCATATTTCAATTCTCTGTATGAACCATCACAAAGATTAAAGTGTAGATTAAAGATTTTACCATTGTATGATGGATAATATTAATCTTGTCCAACATATAAGTATTTGTGTGGAGAAATAAAATGTTTAACATTTTCGAAATGGACTTCACCCTTTCTAGTAAGGAATTCAACATAACCATAAGCTTTGGATATGTGTCTATTGAATCCAAAATAAATAAAGTGCCAATGAACTAAATCTTTTTCATATGGTACTGCCTACCAATAAGTAGGATTTCCATTTCCATATAAATCTTCATATGTATAAGTTGTAAATGCCAATACAGAATCTTTTTTCTCATTGCCAACAAATAAGGCTAGATCTCTATCTCCTAAGAGTTTTGCATTTTTATTGACAGCTGGGTTATTCATAGTCAATCTGAATGCAGAGAACCATGAATTAGTAGTTTGTTCTTAAATTGTATGCCATTTGAACCAACCAGAAATAGAATATTCTTAGGCAAAGATTGGTTCACTATTTTCAACAACTTATTTTGAATCGAATTAAGTAGTTTGACTATTGAATTCGAATTCATGAAGATTTGAGATTTATCTTTCACATTTTTCTTCTGGTAATTAATTACATTCAAAAACAAATTAATTAGCTTCTGCTGGTGTTTCAATAAATACATTTGATCCAACATTAGATTAAACTAATCTAAATTAACCTTAAAATGATTTAACATCACCTGACATACCAGCTAATGTGAAATATAATTATTATGGTGTTTTATGATTTACATTTATCTCATTAACAGATGTTTATCCATTTTCATTAACAACTGCAACTGCTTTACCATTGCAATATGAATAATAAATATAAATCCATTAACCTTCAATATCACCTACATTAATAACAGTTGAAGTTGTCCCTTCATTATCATATGATTAAAATTCAAATCCTGATCTTGTTAAAAATACACTCAATGAATCATCTGTAACTGATCCACTTAATTTCTCAGATTCAGAAATTCTAGCAATAAAATACTTCTCATCTTATCTTCCATTAATCAAATAAGTTGGATATGCTTATAACCATCTAGTATAAAATCCAAATCCATAACAACTTAAGTCATCTCCTTCTAATTATTTATTAATCAATGGAATTTCTTCATTAACAGAAGATGTATAAACATTCTCATTCACTGAATTTAAACATCTTTTTTCAACAATCTCAACAGGTGGCTCAATAGGAGGTAATATAATAGGTGGTTCTTCAAATTCTTCAAACTCTTCTTCAACTTCTTCATAGTATTCTTCTTATTCTTCTGCTGATTCTTCACGATTAGGATTAACAGGAGGTTCATCAGGAATTTCTGGACTTCCTTCCTCTTCTGGATTTAATTCTTCAGTAGGTTGACTTAATTCTTCAGGACTTTCTTCATTAGGAATTTCAGGTTTCTCTTCTTCTTCTTCTCCAGGTGGTGTTGGAACTTCTTATTCTTCTTCAGCTGGAATTGATTTCTCCTCTGGACCCTTTTCATCTGGAATTTCAGGTTTCTCTTCTTCTTCTTCTCCAGGTGGTGGTGATGGGACTTCTTATTCTTCTTCATCAGGAATCGACTTTTCTTCTGGACCTTTTTCATCTGGAATTTCAGGTTACTCTTCATCTGGTGTAGGTGGGGAAGGTGGAATTTATTATTCTTCAGGAGGAACAGATTCTTCTTCAGGACCTTTTTCATCAGGAATTTAAGGTTTATCTTCCTCAGATGGAGGTGAAACAGGTGGATGTTCTTCTTCAGTAGGTGGAAGGGGATTCTCTTCAGGTTCAGAAGAGGGTGTTTTTTCTTCTGGAGTAGGTTCATCTGGGACTCCAGGCTCATCTTCACATGGTGCTGGTTAACCACATCCTTGTTAAACAACTTATAAATCCTTAATTTTTCCTTTAATTTTAATGACAGTGACTGGATTTGATTAGCATTATTGTCTACAACTATTAAACTATTTTAGAAGATAAATGCATAATTTCAACATAGTTGCTTCACATTCATCTGCAGTTTGAGGATTACTTAATCCTTTTAATTTTTATTTGAATTCTGCCAAAATTGGTTCTCCAATCTTGCTTTCTGTTTTTGGTAATTCGAGTTTATCTATTTATTTCTCAATAGCTTTAAACTTTCTTTTTTGTATTAATTGCTTAATGCTTTCTAATCTATCTATATCTCTGTGTAATGAATCTTTATGTTATACTATATCAGCCCATGCTGCCATTTAAGCAGAAACTCTCTCAAACTCATTCTATGGTGTTGCACAACTCATAGATGTTGTATCCAACAGTGCTATATCCGATAAGTCCATTGATAATAAGGATGTGCTCAAATCTAATTCAGCAGAAAGGGCTAAAATTTTATGTTTGATTAATACCACTCCCCAACACTAATATACATATGACTAATGTCGAACTTCTCATTTTAATTAAAATAATATAAAAACGGATTTCATTATAAACTATCATTTTTCATCTCAGTTCTTATATAATAACTATATTGTTTTGCATTTTAACTTAAATACTTTTATTACTTATAATGGAATAATACTCTTTGTCATATATTTTATAGATCACCTAAAAAATCAAATTTATTAAACTGCTCTAATATCTTAAAAGGCAAATCCTGATTCACATTTACTTAATTTATCAATTAGTTAAGATTCTCTATTTTATTTTTATTGAAATTGCAATTATTCATTTCTTTTGATTCTGTCCAAAATCTATCTTTTTTTCACCTGTTCTAGTTCCTCTGTTTTCTTTTGAATAATTTTCAAGTTGTCAACATTAATCAGAAATGATAAAAATACTCATTTATATTATTATATTACTATATATAAATATATTTAATAAATAATTAGCTCTATATGATCATCTAGTTTCTGCACTTCTGCCTTTAATCTTTTTGATTTATCCCTTAGTTTATAGGATCATGAATGCAACCCTTTGATTCTTATATTTTTATTCAATCTGGTTTCCAATCTTTACTAATTACTATTATCTTTAATCCTTGTATCTTTTTTTAATTCTATTTGTATATTTTCAATCTTATTCAAATATTGCAGTAAATTTGTCAATTAGAATTAAATTTTGAAAAACTTTTTAAAATCTTTCAATTTGTAGGTTTTTTTCAATAAAAATATTACTTCATTTAAATATTGTGAATTTTTATTCTGATTAGATATAGATGTAAAGAAAGTAAAGAAAATACTCTTACTGATGAACATGGTAATTGTTTAATAACCAAATTTATATTTTAAGATAATAATTGTTTTATTTTATTTTACTTTATTTAAATTGAAGAATATAAAGTATTATTCTGTTTATAGACTTAAAATAAAAATTCAATTTAAATCACTTTAAAATCAATTCGTTTTTATTTCTTAATATTAGTTTTAGATATTTCAATTTTTAATAAATATTTTTGTTAATGAATAAATTATATTGATATAAAGATGAATATTTTATAATAAAAATAAATTTAATGATTAATTCACAATCTTCTGGTATTAAGAATACTTTAGGAGGATCAAAACGATATGTGTCCCCATATGAGAGATTTTAGAATTAGGAGAGTGATGGAGTAATAATATTAAATTTATGTTAATATAGAGAAAATTACAATAATAAATTGGAAATTAAGTTAAATCAAGAATGGTTAATATAGATAATTCTGAATAAGTAAGTGTATTAGGTGACAACAATAATCCAAACAAACTATCTAATTTGTCTTAATTTGCTTAATTCATGTATATACCTTGTTAGAGTCATCCAGAATTTTTTATAACAACTTTATGTTAAGAATAAGTATAACTTATTTAAATTAGAATTGTGTAGAGCCATTATGTGCAGAATGCATAACAAATCATTTGGAATAGCATTAGAAAAAAGGGAAATAGCCTAAATTTGAGAATATATTGAGAGTGAGGAAAGATCAGATTTGCAAGATAGATGACTTATTAAAATAATTATAAATAAAGTTGAAGGAAGCGAAGACATATTTTAATGAAACACCATAAATGATATATAATAATGCATAAGAGTAGGTCAAATTGATACATGGTTAAATATCAGATATGATAAATGATTACTTTTAAGGTTTATAAAGAGAATTAAATGAGTATAATTAAGATGAACAAATGAAATAAATGAATTTGGTTGAGGAAGAGATAATTTAATAATAGAATGAACTATTAAAATTATAAGAGGATTTACAAAATGATAATTATATAAAGGCAATTACTTAAATTTTTATTAATAAAGAACAGATATATAGTGAAAAGAATATATATAAATTAGATAAAATGGTTAAGGATTTTAATTAAAATAAAGTGGAAGTAATATTAGATAAGAGTAATTTAGAATTATTATAAACTTATTGTAAGAAATTATGTTATTTATTGAAAAGTAAAAAGTAGACTTCAATTTCTAATATAAAGTAATCATCATCTATTTAATAATAATAATTTTAATTTTAATAGTTTAAATAACCATAAGAAGTAGATTAAAAGGGAAATTTATCATCATTAGTTCTATCAAAATTAGTATCTTCAGACATACCTCCTATAATAAATCCAATTTCTTTGATTTCAGAGAATTTAACAAATGAAACAGCAATATGTAAATTTAATTATAAAAATCACTTTGAGGATGGAAAGGATTAAGTGATTATAAGATTAGAAGAAGGTGGATTTGCTGCTTATATTTATGATATTTAATCTTAAAAATATAGAATAGAAACTATAAATAGTACAATTAGAATACCATTATGTCATAAATTATATACAACATCATTTGGTAAACATTTAGTAATAGGTGGTGTTGATAAAGAAAAGTCAAGATTCAAAGCAATAGCACATGTTTATGAATTTAATCATAATACTCTTTAATTGACTTTGCATTCTGAAATGATTTTAGCAAGATCAATGACATCAGCTTGTTAAGTGGACAATTTCTTATATGTTGTTGGAGGATCTTCAACAAATGATGAAAATACATCAATAGCCAAAGCAGAGAAATTAGATTTAACAACAAGAAAATGGTATTCAATAGAGGATCCTTTCTATAAGACAACTGGTTGTGCTTTAGTATCAATTGATTATAATACATTAATTAAAATTGGAGGTAAATGTGATATATTTACACCATGTAATTAAATAGAATCTTATGATATACAAAAGAATTTATGGGTATTTTATTAAATTAATTAATTATAAAGACTATAATAGAATTCAAATTTATATCATCTGGATATTTGAGATTACCATTTTAAAGTTGTGCAGTTACTATTTCTAAAGATCAAATATTAATAATTGGTGGATCAATTCATGATGTAAGAGCTGATGAAACTTAAGTAATCATTAATATTATAAATAATAATAGATTTTTAATGTAGAATAAAAAACTATACAGAGATCATCTTAATTACCAAATTCAATTGATTTTCCTACTTAAACAGCCATTATTTAATACAATAGTATATATATATTAACTGAAAATGAATAACCTTTATTATATGGTAATTAAGATGGATTTAAATATTAATGAAATTATAAATAATAATTTTATGAATATTAAATTGATTAATAATTAAAATATTAAAATGGATATCACAAAAATTCAAGATCTAATTTATGATGTTTTAAATTTAATGGTGGTTTTTTTTTTGTAAATTTCTAACAATAACAATTAACTAATTCTTAATATCTAATTTCTTTATTTTAATTATTTTTTGTTAATTTGATTTATAGTTTATTTGTATATTACTATTTATCTTTATATGAAAATTAATCTTCAAATGCATAAACAATCTCTTTATCTGTTTCAAGTTATTATTTAACTTGAATTGGTTCAATTTTTTAAGGTAATTTTATTTGATTACAAAATTACAATGATTTAGTTCTTTGAGTCCTTGTTGTTTTGTTGAATATATTTTACAAATATAATTTAGGATCAATATTGATATTAAGATCATAGTCATTATTAAAAATACTTGGTAAAAAGATTTTGTTGTTTGTGTTATCTACACTCAAATTTCTTGCCTTTGTTGACATTTATATATATTAATTATTATATATATATATATCACATATTACAACTAAATTATTATTGTATATTATTTAGAAAACGATACAAGTATTCTACAATTCCTATTTCATTTATTTTAAAGAATATCAAATTAGTATTCTAAATACATTAACTAATAAGTGCATCAGCTTTATTAAATTATTCAGCACAATAATCTCTTTGATCATATTAATCTATTATAAATATTATATAATTACCTAATTAATCATATATGAATGTCATATCATAATAATTCTATTGAATCATTTCAATCCAACCAACTTAAATAGCAAAATTAATAGATGTAGCATAATACTATAAACTTTTATAAATACGTGCCATCAAATTCCAAAACTTAGCTTAAATTACACAATTTGATTATGATAATTCATATAAATTAATATTATTTAATTTATCTTAAGCTATCTAAATTTAATTTTATTTAATGTTTCTTTCAATTATATTTAGTTTATATTCCAAATATTATTAATTCAAATGAAATTATTTACACAATCTAATAATCTCTAAATCATTCTCTCCATCCTTTAATAATTACTTGACTCTAAGCTTAGGATCTAATCATATAAATATATTACTTTTAATTGGTACAATTTATAAAGATTCAGAAATATATGGATCAGGATTCATTTACAATAATTACATCATAATCTATTTTATGTATTTAATTGAAATTGGTTCATTAATTATTTCAAAATATTCCAAACATATATTTAATATTACTAATATTGATTATTCACTTAAATTATAAGTAGTTTCAAAACATTATTAGAATTATGACAATGTATATAATGGTTAATGTAAGGATATTTGACTCAAGGCTTCTAATTGAAGTGAAAGTGTTTAATCATTTTAATCAAATTATTATAATTAATCCAATGCATTTTAAATCATAGTTGAATTTCCATAATTATTAGCACATACTAATTAATAGGCAGTAATAGATTATTCTATATCTTGACTATGAGATTGTAAAATCTATTTTAAACTTTAATGTATTATATCTTTCCAATTAATATGTTTCTTTTTTAATAATGAATAATTTATTTATTTGTATCTTACTTATGATCCATATATCAAAGCACTCTATAATCTGTGTTATGGACTTAATTATTAAGCATGATTAACTGCATATTCTAATAATAGAGTAGCCTAATATTAATGATGAAGTATATTTACTTATTTTTAATAATTATTACGATATGCTATTTCAAATAGATTTAATAAACAAAGATTAATACTTTATTCATCTGATACAGTTTATGATAATCTTAAACCTTCAGATAAACTATTTAATGCTTCATCATAGAAATTCATCTTCATATTGAGATAAATAGAATTCATAATACAATGATTCACTTTCTTAGGTACAAGACTATTCAATGTCATATCATAATATTTGCGAGAGAATTTAATAGCTCTAAATGGATATCTTAATATAGCATATAAGAGTGCTTTAAGAAAATTGACTTTACAATTCTCATTCAAATTTGGTTATTCGATTATTTATTTCAATTCTTCTAAATTTACATAACTAGAACTTGCTAACAAATATATAGATATATTATACTTTATAATTTTGTAAGTAAGAATTCAATATATGAATCAGTTAAAAATGGATTATTTTGCAAATGATTATCTTAACCTTCTTTGAAATCACTCCAAGATTTTAACATTTAATTGAAATCCATTTAATTAAATAGCAATAACATATTCCTAAAAAACAAATCAACAACACTGCCTCCTGGAGTTTTCTATTATTATTTTTCACGTAATGCTGCTTATTAAAATTAAAGTATTACTTTCTCCAATTATCTTATGAAATTTATTCATTGAAGTAATCTATAACAATTCAGGTTCAATATGACTAAGAATTGTATTTTACAATGTTGGATTATTAATAATCTCTGTAACATCATGAATCTAATAGAAATATAAAGTAATAAATACTTTTAAATATTCAGTTAAGATGTCATAAACCTATTGACTAGGTTTACGTAATAGAAGGATTAATAAAATGAGGTTGTTGTTCATTAATTTTTCAAATTTAAAATATTTTATGTAATTATATACTCTATATAATTTATATATTATATAAACATATAGAAGATTGATTAAATGATAAAGAACATTATAAAGAAGAGAATTATTTAAAACATTTAATAATATAAATTCAAACATTGATAATTTATCTAATAGACAATTTATAGATATTTTATAGTTGAGATATATATATTTGGAGAATAATATATATGTTATTGTTATGTTAATTAGTCAGATATATAAAATAAAGATTATTATGAGTTTGCAATTTGTATATTGATTGTTGCTTTGATTTTAATGTATAATTGTAATAATAAACTATAATATAGAATAGTTTATGAAGAATCAGTTAGTGTAGTATAGAAAGATGTTAAAAGTATAGATAAAATATGATATAAATTAATATATATATAATGAATGCTCCATTCCCAGAAAAGATGATAGAGAAATTTGTACAGTTTATTATGTTAACTCTTCATAGAATAAGTAAATGGAAGTATTTGTGAAACATGAAGAGTTGCTTTTGAAATAGAGACAAGCATATGAGTAAAAACTTAATAATGTGTTTGATCGAAATTTGCAACTGGAAGAGAAGGATAGAAGTATGCATGAATAAGTACCTATTGATTCAAATAGATCTTATCATCAAGATACTAGAATGAATAATTGAAAATATAGTAAGAGAAGTTAAAGCAATTACAAGAATTATAGAAATAAAAGAAAGAGAAAAAAAAAGCAGCAAATGAATTATGGTAATAAGAACAGAAATAACATGAGAAAGATATATAATAAAAGTTGTTTGAAATTCAATAATAGATAAAATATGAAGAATTCAAAAGGAAAACTGATGAATTAATGAATTAACTTGACAATAATTTAAGGAAACTTAATCTACGTTATTTAGAGAAATAAGAAAGGAAAGAGAAATATTTAAATGATTTTTTAAATTAGAAGTAATAGACTATAAATACATCGATGCAGATTACTGAATCACATCATCAAAATGTATATTCTAATTATTAATAATAAATGAAGAGAATTTAGGAAGTAATTAACATTGTTAATGTTAGATTTGTTAATTAAAATTGAAAAAATATGAAAATAAAATAAAACAAATTAATCAATAGAAACTATCTTAAATTGAACAATTAACTCATAAGGCTTAATCAAGTTTTGAACATTAAGAAGGCATTAAATATCGTTCATATTAGATATATTAAAATAAATTGTAAAAATTATAAAATAAGATGAATTATTTTTAAGATAAAATCAATTAAATTGAAAAGAAGAGATTATAATAATTATAAATGAATTATTTATAAGAATAAGAATTAAATTAAAAAAGAAATGATGTAAGAGCTAAATCTGAAAATATTTATAGAAATAAATCTATAAATATTTTAAATAAATAATTGGAAAAAGAGAAAACATTTTAATTAGTCTAATAATAGAATTAAATTGAATTATAATAAAAATTATAGAGATTAAATGAAAAATGGTAAACATAATAAAATTAAGTTTAAAAAGCTGATCAATTAAAATAATCATATTTTTCATCATTAGAATAAAAAATCACTTAAAGAGATTAGAGATTATAAGATTAAATGTATTAAAATAATAACTTATTTAAATAGATAAAATAAATTAGATATCTAAAAAAGAAGATTTAAAGTTATTGAAGATATGGAAAGATAAAAAAGAGATTTATTACTTAAATTAGAATAAGATAAAGTTCCATTTACAAATACTTCTGAAATGAGATATTTGTATAGCACTCCAAAATAATAGTAATCTAAATTGTTTATTACATGATTATAAATCTACATATATATATATATAAATAAATATATGAGAAAAATTATCTATAGATTTTCAAGAGCTACATATCTTGATTTCTAAGCTACAACACCAACTGATTATAGAGTTTTAGATGCTATGTTACCATATTTAACTAATTAATATGGTAATCCTCATAGTAAAACACATTCATTTGGATGGGAAACAGAAAAAGCAGTGGAAAAAGCAAGATCTTAAGTTATTTATTAATCTAATTATATAGATTGCTAATTTAATCAATGCATAACCTTAAAGCATCATTTTTACTTCTGGGGCTACTGAAAGTAACAATGCTGCATTAAAGGGTTTATATGGATTTTATGGAAAATAAAAGAATCATATAATTACAACACAAACTGAACACAAATGTGTTTTAGATACTTGTAGATATCTAGAGGATAAAGGAGTAGAAGTTACATATTTACCAGTTGATTCTAATGGCTTGATCTCATTACAACAATTATAAGAATCTATTAAATCCAATACATTATGTGTAAGTGTAATGCTTGTAAATAATGAAATTGGTGTCATTTAGAACTTAAAAGAGATAAGTAGAATATGTCATCAACGAGGAGTTTATGTTCATTCCGATATGGCATAAGCTATAGCAAAGATTCCAGTTGATATTTAAGATCTTGATATAGATTTAGGTAGTATATCAGCTCATAAACTATATGGACCTAAAGGAATAGGTGCATTATATGTAAGAAGGAAACCAAGAGTTAGATTATAATAAATAATTCATGGTGGAGGATAAGAGAGAGGTTTAAGAAGTGGTACTCTTGCACCTCATTTATGTGTTGGATTTGGTAAGGCTGCTGAAATAGCATAGACTGAATTACCATATGACATTTAACATGTTGAAAAATTATACAATAAACTTTTAATTGGAATTAAATAAAAGATTCCTTAAATTTAAATAAATGGTTCATTAGAATAGAGATATAAAGGTAATTTGAATGTTTCATTTGCATTTGTGGAAGGAGAATCTTTAATTATGGCTATTAAATAAGTTGCAGTATCTTCTGGATCTGCTTGTACTTCTTCATCTCTTGAACCTTCATATGTATTAAGAGCTTTAGGAGTTCAAGAAGATATGGCTCATACTAGTTTAAGAATTGGTATTGGGTATATATATATATTTAAATTATATAGTCGATTTACTACTGAAAAGGAAATAGATTTTTTAATTGATTAATTGAGTGAAGCTGTAAGAAAACTAAGAGAAATGTCTCCATTATGGGAAATGCATTAAGAAGGAATTGATATTAATAAAATTGAATGGACTCAACCACATTGAATATTTAATTTAATATAAATGTTTAAAGATGCTACTATCTTGTGTTTACATGATAAAAGATATAAATTTCAAGTGGAAATTCGTCGTTAGAGAACTGAAACATTATTTCAATAGAAGAGAGCTATATTTGTGCATAACAAGGTTAAGAAGTTGGAGTAATATCAAGGACCTTGAATTACTTGCTTAATTTTCTATAGAGTGTTTCAATCGTAGAGAATACCAATAAAGTAAAGAATACTTAAAGAAATTAATTCATTATGCAGATTCTGAATAAAGTGAAAATTTAAAATCATTGAATACAATCAATTATTTAAAAGAAATTGCATAAACATGTGATTCAGAATAATTTAGTTTGATTTTAGAAATATTTCTAAAAATATGTTTACCTTAATGTTTATGTCCTTAATTATTGAATCAAATACAAGAATTTTTAAGTATTGAAATAGTTAATTAATTTATTACACTATTATAAAGAATAGTTTATATGAATGAATTAGATTCACTAATAGAATAGCATAATATTATTTAATATATATTAGATATAACATTAGAATTGGATGATTTCTAAGGATGGTTTCTAATAATTGAATAATTATGTAATTATCATTTGAAACCTTCTCTCTATGTAAATTAAAATTCATTTTCTAATAGTTTAAGAACCTTATCATTCCTTGTTTAAAGTTATTGCAATATGATACAAATCTTGTAACTCTACAAATTATTGAAACTATGTGTAATTGTAAAACTGATAGAAGAGGAGCTATCAATTATTTACTAATCATTCCAGGATTCATTGATTTATTGATAAATAATCTCTCTAAAACTTTTAATATCATCAGCCATATTATTGAATAATCTGATGATGGTACTACTAAATTAATTTAGAAGGACTTACTTATGAAATTATATAAATTATTAGAAGAAGATTAATCATTAAAAACTACATTGATTTATCTCACTATCTTAATATGTTTCTATAGAAATGACACTATAATTCTTAAACTTATAGAGTCATAACTATTTTAGTATATTCTGGCATTAGATGAATAAACTTTAAAAAATGATGATTTAATATTGATAAGTAGAATGCTTGTCTATCTTATTAGAAGATATTCTAATGAATCATTTTATTTATATCTTATTTAAAAAACCTTTTTTGTTAACATGTTGGGATAATTGATTAGTAAATTAGAATTACCAGAAGTTTATAATAATGCTATTCATTCAATCATTCATATGGCATTCTCATAATCAATAGAATTTACAAAAGTATTTAGATAAGTATATATATATGATTTAAATAATTAGAGTATTTTCATGAAACCCGTTGAAGAACAATTATAAAAGAATAAATCTAAAGATGCTAATATTGATGATAAAATATAAGAATTTTTAAATATTATATATAAATGAGTAAACATAGACATTCTAAAGATAAATTATATATTACTTATAGTGAACATATGTAAGAAAGAGAAGGTAAAAAGAAGATAAGACAACTCCTTTTACTCGATTACCCTTTGATCATTGTTCATTATCTCTTGAACCATTTAAGAATCCTGTATGCACATCTGAAGGTCATGTATTTGATATTGTTAACATTGTACCATTTATTAGAAAATATAAAAGAAATCCTATCAACGGATAATCTCTTAGAACTAATGATTTGATTCAATTGAAATTTAATAAAAATGATAAAGGACAATATCATGATCCTATATGTTTTAAGGTATTTATAGATCATACTAAATTGGTAACCACCAAGGTAAGTGGAAATGTATATACATCTGATACAATTGAAGAGTTGAATCGTAAACCTAAATTTTGGAAAGATCTCATAAGTGGGGAGACTTTTACATACAAAGATATAATAGTATTATAGGATCCTAAGAATATTGAATCTAGAACAATTAAGAATTTGATTTCCTGAAAAATAATCTGAAATTAGATCAATAAACAGAAAATGATGTATATATAAATTTAAATGATAGTGGAAAAAGAATAATGGAAATGGCATAAGAATAAAATGTAAATAGATAAAAAGAATAAAATGAAAGAGAAAAATATACATTTGAAGAAATTGAATAGATGAAAAAGAAAGTAAAAGAATAAATGGTATCAAATTAATTAAATGTAAACTCTCATCAAAATCTGGTGATTTTGTATCTGAAAGATATGCAACTGAACATGATTCTGTTAGTGTTTCTAGTATTGAAGACTAAACCATTAGGATAAATTTAATATAGAAATATGAATGAGGATGAAATAAGAAAGTTTTTATATGAAAGAATACGTAAATCAGGATAAAAAGGATATGTATAATTAATTACTAATTATGGAAATATTAATTTTGAATTGCATTGTGATTTAGTACCTATGACATGTGAAAATTTCTTAGAATTATGTGAAAAAGGTTATTACAATTAAACTAAATTTCATAAATTAATTGAAAATTAATTATTGGAAGGTGGTGATCCAACAGCAACAGGATATGGTGGTGAATCAATATTTGGTAAACCTTTTAGAATTGAAATTAATAATTTATTATCTCATAATAAAGCTGGTATGGTTTCTATGGGTAATCTAGGAGAAAATCATTAAACATCACATTTGTATTTATATATATTTAAATAGATAGTTTTATAGCTTTAGCTGAATGTAAGAACTATGATGGTAAATATGCTGTATTTGGAGAAGTTGTTGGTGGATTTTAAACATTATATTAAATAAATAAATTACCTACTAATATGTGGTAGAGACCTGAAGTGACAATTAAATTAAAAGAATTAAATGTAATAAAGAATCCTTTTAGAGATATGATTAAAATAATGTTATAAGAAAAAGAAGTAGAAAAGGAATAGAAATTATAAGAGAAAGATAAAGAAAGATGGTTAGATGATGAAGGATTCTCTTTACCTAAAAGAATTTCAACTACATCTTAAATAAAAGGTTTAGGATTAGATTGTAATTTAATTTAATAGTTTAATACATAAGAATAATAAAAAAATAATTAAAATAATATTGTTTTGATAGTTGGTTATGATAATTAAAGTATTGATATATATTTTAAATCATGTCATTTTACATAATATATTACCCATATGATGTATATTATTACTAGTTAATTTTTGGGTTGTACTTAATAAATTATATAAATTATGATTATAAAATTTAATGACTGCTTAATGTTATTTCAATTCTTTTAATTGAATCATTTTAAAATCATTTGATCTAATAATATCATCTCTCTAGAAACCAGAATAATGTTAATTAAATTATATTGAATTTTTGGAGACAACTTATCTTGATAAAATCTTTTGGTTATTAAATAATTACCTTTTTTTATATTTATAATTCTGCCTTATTATTTTTTAAATCTTATAATTTTTATTATCTATTTTGAATTTCTAATTGTAATTCATAATTTTTTAAAACTTTATCACAAAATTCAATCCATTTTGGATTGTGATAAGGATTGTCTATACCTAAATCTGTTAATTAGTTTAATAGATCTTAGGTGTGTGCATCACAATTCAATGATTTTAATATATTGTCTTCCACTTTTTCAGATTTCAAACGAACAAACTTAATCTTGATTTCGTTTCCACTATTGTTAACTTCAGTATTAGAATGAACGGCATTAATTTACTACTAATTTAAATGTTTCTTATTTGTATCTAAAAAATAAGAATTTTCTATATTTGAAATCATACCTGGAGAAGGGGGTATATTTTAGAAATATGTTAATCTCCTGGATGCTTCTAATTATTGTTAAATCTATTTTTTTTCTTATTAAACTTTTTTTGTTTCTATTTTCGATTTTTATTTAATTGATTAAGCTTTGTCTCCCAATTCCCTTATTATAGTAATCTATTCAAAAATCAATTTATCTAAATTTTTTGAATGTTTAACTAATTATTATGCTCTATCTTCATTATAATCCTAATTCTATTAACATAATTTCCAAACAATATTCATTCTTTTCATTTCTAATTGAACAACAGATAGATTCTCTTATTATTTCTTTAATTCTTCAGATAAACATTTATTAATCTCTAATGTTTTTTAAGTTTCTCCATTTACTTCATCAGGATACATATTTTATTTTATAGTAGTATAATCTTTTAATCTATTTTTTAACACCTAACTAATGTTATCAATTAAATAAATTACTTCTAATAAATAATTTAATCTAATTTCTTTTGAAATTGAATTTTCTATAAACTTGGTAATGAAATCTTCTTAAAATTTCTCTCTGTTTTATTATGTTCAGAATCTGCTCTTGTCTTTAAAATATTTGTATTTCTTGTTGTATCCAAAGGACTAAATTATCTTAATCTAATACTGGAATTAATAGAAGGTAATTTAGTAGCTATATTATATATATAATAAAAATAGAATTACAATTATGATCTTTCATTTATTTAGTTTATTTTGCAATCAAAGCCAATTTTATAGCTTTCTAACTAATTTATAATTCCTCTGACATTGGTATATTATTTGTATTATAATAATCCATTAATTTTGAATAATTATTCTTTTGAGTCAATGCTAACCAAGGAAATTAAACCCAAATCCATCTTTTATAATAATAATTTTATTAATTTCTAGTATTTGTTATTATTTTATCTAATATATATTCTTATTTTGTATTAATATATTCCTATACTAAATTTTAATCAAATTAACTAATATAATAATTAATAAAGTAATCTCTATTAGCTTTTATATCCATATTTAATGTTTCAATATTACTTTGTTATTATGGAAAATAATCTTCATTCATTTATTTAGTTTTCTTTTTTGCTATCATTTTTAATTATTTTAATTCATTATATAAACCAATCTCATCAAATTCAATTGATTATCCTCTTAATTCTGGATGTTTATAAGGTGGTGTATGATCACTAAATATAATAAATTAAATACTTCTCAAAATTACTAAATTCTCTTAAAAATCTACAAATTTGTAACATTATATAAAATAAACCTTCATTTGTTGGTTTATAGAGTGCTTAAAAATTTTCAATAGCTTTATTGTATTCCATAACTAGATCATATCCATTCTATTCTAAAGTTTCCCATAAATGACATAATTCAAATTTATGATTTGGACTACACAACATTAAAAAGTTCTCAACATTAATAAGAACTTCTTTAAGTTTAAAATATCTCTTTGTTCTAGTATATTGATATATTAATTCTTCTAATTTTCTAATTGTATTTTATGAATGTTCCATAGTTGTAATGAATTAATGATATAATTATTTATTAGAAGGTAAGTATTAAATTAATGCATTCTTGAATGGAATACTAAAGATACAATAAATTTATTATTTTTCCATTAGAAATATTTTAAAGAACTCATAAACATATTAAATATGTTCTTTCTCACAACTACATATTTAAACTATCTCATCTAAAGAAACTCCTTTAAAAACAAATGTAAGTACTGTTAAAATTGAAATATAATGTGTTTCAGAAAAGTATTTCAAAAATGATTTTATCAAAATATTAAAGAAATCATTTTCACTTTTAATATCTAATAATTAAAATATAATTAATACTTTCCATTTATGAAACAGATTCTTTTATAACATCTTGAAAATCTTCATTATTATTAGTTAGAGTGATTTCAAAAGATTTACAAAAATATGCTTAATCAGCCAAACTTTAAGGTATTTTTGAATATAATTTCTAATAATAATTATAATTATTATATATATACATATAGACGATCTTAGCATTAAAGTCTTTCTAGAAATTCTTCCTTGGTTTAGTCTCTATACAATATTAGTGAAAGATGTATACATTTGAATGATGGTTCCTCCTTAATTATAATATTATTCATATGCTTTTGATTCAGTCTTTCCTGTTACAATTAACTTGAAAATTTGAATTCATAATTACTTTTACATTTTCAGGCAAAACTCTAGGTAACCAATAGGATGCTCGTACTTCACCATTCTAATCACGAAATCTGTCTATTCCTTAAAATATCAAGATCAACTAATATTATATGTTGATTTTATACTCTTTTATAAACGCATTTTGAATCACTAAATACTTGATTTTATATTTCTCTACTATAAAATTCAAGCCAATATTGAAAAAACTATTTGAGTTTTTCTCCCTCGATTTCTACTTTTTAAGAGATATTGAAAATAGTCTTTGATATGATTATTATTATTACTTTCAATCTTGATAAAACATAAAAAATGGCATATTAATAATTCTAATTTTCATGCTCTACAAAATATGGAATGACTATATCTTTCTAAAGTTGAATAGTATTTCAAATATAATACATTTAGACCTTTCATCCAATATGAAATCAAACATTAAATGTCATTACCCTCTTCTTCACAAATGAATAATGCCTTATTTTGTTTCTATTTGTATAACCATTCTTCTATTTTAAATTTAAATTAATCTAGACCATCAGGTATTGGATGTTTTAGACAACTTTCTACAATTTAATCTGATTTGCTTTCAAGCATTATATAAATATTTATTAATTATATATATATATATGTATAACTTAATTTATAAAGTTTCCTCTTATGTTCAATAACCAATTAAATATTTTATATAATAATATTAATTCTTTTTTTCATGAATTTAGATGATATCTATAATTGGTAAAATTCATATACAATACATAACTAGGATTCTAAACCATGAAAATAATTATCCTGGAAAACATCAAGAATCTTAACCAAGAACTATTTCATCCTATAAACCATTAGAACCTAAAGCATAAGTAATTTATACTCTTTACTCTTTTAGTTTCATATTGTTATAAAGGCTACTGCTGAATATATCAAAGAAAAAATGTTTAATGGAAATGTAATATCATTAAATACTTTTAAAGGGTGTTAATTTAAAAGAATTTGGAGCATTTACAATGGAAGTTATATCAGATTATGTTAAACCATTATAACATTCTGGTTTTAAAATGACTGAAGATTTAGATATCTAAAGAGCTGATCGAAAACATGTACATACAATAAGGTATTTGTGCTTTATTATTAAGACCATGCTTTATTCCAGATAATTAGTTCAAATATTTCTTATAAAGATATCCTGGAAAAGAAGAGGTTACTAAACCTTTAAGTCAACATTCAATCTATTAAAAGGGATTTGGAATGAATTTTTGTAATGCAGGACCAATTGCTGCTTCATGGTAACTCTTTTGATCAATTCAATTTATTAGTTATTTAGGTAAAGATGTTGTTTAATCTATTCATTATTCTTTAATTAAAGCTATTTAAGATTTAACTAGACTTGGACATGATTTACATATTGATTTTGGATTTATTAAAATTTGTATTTTAAACAAAGATCTAAAATACAAATATGAATAATCATTTATTAATAGATTAAATTAAACTGATTATGAATTAAAAGTAATTTACTAACTCATTGTTTGTAGATGCGTAAGTCAGATATGGCTACATCTCAACATTGGAAAACAACATAAGAAGAAAAATGGTCTAAAAGTACTTTAAATCATTTACTAACAAGACCAAATCCTAATTAAGTTTAAGAAAATTATGAAAAATCTATGGCTCTTAAAATTATGTCATTAGATCTTAATACTGCTGAATAAACACATTATAGTAAAAATTAAAAAATAAAGTTACCAACTTTAAATAAATGAATTAAAATTATAAAATCAAAACATTTTCATATTTAAATATTATTCTCTATACAAGCCATATATAAATGATGTGAAAACTATTAAAGTTCTTATTTTTATTTTGATACTATAAATTATATATATAAATAAAATACTTTAATCCAAATTCTTCATATATTTATTCAATTCTTTTTCATAAATTTAATTTCTCTATTCTTATCTAAATAAATTTCTTTTTAATTCATCTTTGGTTGGACTCTAATATAGTCTCTACCTTTTTTTAATTAAAGATTCTTATTTATTAGATTTTTCAGAATTCATTTTCCATACACTAAATAATTATATACAAATATTTTACTTTTCTTTTTTATCATCATTTTAAATTTCACTTAATTTTTCTTATAAATCAAATATTGATTTATGAAGTACAAAATTTGCTCTCTCTAATTCTGTATATTCTTATTCTTTTTTATCCAAAAAATTACGTAATATCATATTTTATTTAGTTTATTCAATTAATTATGTTTATAGTGTAGCTATTTACTTATCAAAATAATTTACTTAAAAGATTTAATGATTCTAAATATTAATTAGTTTTTTAAAGACTCTTTTATAACCATGTCTTAGTTTCTTTTTAGTTTTCATTTTATACATTTAAATCTTTATTTGATTAAAATTTTAATTTCTTTGCAGGTGTAAATTCTTTATTTTTTTTAATTCCTGATACCATATCTTTAACATCTTATATTTCAAATGAGAATTTATTTTTCATTTCACTAATTTATTATTTAAGTGAAACATTTTCTTATTCTAATACTTTAATTTATTAATCTGATTCACAACTATCAGTTTAAGTTATACATTCAACCAAAAGTTTTGGATTCAAGACTCCTTTAGTTTCAACAATATTTCTAAAATAATTTAGATAATTTGAATTTTCATTTGATGTAGAAATTAATTCTTAATTACATCTTTATAATTAATGAATTTATTCCTATAATCGTTATTTTTCAACAATTTATTCTGTAATTGTTTTTAATTAATCTTCTATTAATATATTTTTTTCTTTAACTAATTCTTTTATTTATTTAATTGTATTTTATTCTTCTTAACTTTAATTTTTATAAAAGTCTAATTATTATTATATTTCTTATAATTAATTTTAATAATTTTCCACTTATTCAATCATTTCATTATATGCTTCACTCTAAAAATTATTACATTCTTAAATTTCATTGATATTTACAGTATTTTTTAATGCACCTGCAGACATACCAAATCTCATTGTATTAACTGATTCTAAATAATTTTCATTATTTTAACTTATAGTTAATAACATAACAGTTAATGAATTACCATTTAAACTAGGTTTAAGTATTTTAGTTAATTTAGAATCTCTAAAATTAACAAATTAATCTTTTTTATTTTCCTTTAATTTAGAAACAACATTTTAAAGTGCTAATAAACTTTTATTAATTAAAAATCCTTCTTTTCTTCTTAATCCTTCAGCTTATGTTTTTGATAATCCTTCAGAACCAGCTAAATCAACTAAATGAAGATAAGAATTGCGAATAATAAATGGTGGACATTTCTATCTTGCTTCTATTGCTATTTATAAAATAACATGAGATCTAGAAGAATTATCATTCATTTTAGTTTCTCCAAAATGTCTTTATTCTTCACCTAATTTACTAAAAATAAATGAGTAAAATTATATACAAAATTTCTTCAAATTAATTTAAAGAATTAATAGTTTCCCATTTATATTCATTAGATGTATTAGGTTTCATTTCTTATAGATCTCTAATCAAAAGATCATAAATATTTTCATTGTAAATTTCAATGTATGAAATCTTTAAATTACAATAGGTATCAGTAATCTATGATCACATAGAATTTAAACTTTATTAATGGATTGAAGTAAATAATCAATAGATAATTAAATAAGTCCTGGTTCTTTATTACTTCCTTTCATTGTATATGTTTTTCCAGAACTTGTCTATCCATATGCACAAATTGAGCCATTATATCCTAAAAGACATTTCTATACAATAGGTTAGACCATTTTAGTGAAAATATCTTTAGATGATGCTGCTTCATCAAATACCTATTGTTATTTGAATAGATTTACATTATCAAATGAAAAGCGCTCATTAGATTTTTTAACAATGACTGATTTCTCATTAACAATATTACATATTTTATCATTAGAATCAGTGGGTCTTAATCTCAAACCAACTAATACATTTTCAACATGTTATTCATGATATTTAGATTTGGTTTATTATTCTACACCTTTCATGTTGCTCATTTTAAATTTAAATTATATAAACACATATGAATTTCACAATAATTAACTTTACCATTAATTAAAAATATAAAAAATGAGTAGTTCAGAAATACAATCAGATTCTGAAGATCTAATTTAAGGATAAAAAGATTTCGATTTCTATGCTGATCTCTTAAATCCTGCTGAAAAATTAAGAAAAAGAATTCAATAATCAACATAAAATCAAATTACTAAATTAGTCAAATCAGCTAAAAAAAATGAAAAGTAATAAAAGAAAACTAAACAAATAATTTAAAAGATTAAAAATGAAGATTTATAAGAAAATAATCAACCATAATATGATTCTAAAATATTTGCTACTAATACTGATTTCCAATAATTAAAACTTAATAAATCATTGATTAAAGCTTGTCATGAATAAGGATACAAATATCCTACTCAAATTTAAGCATAAATCATTCCATTAGTTTTAGCAGGTAAAGATGTACTAGCAAGTTCATGTACAGGTTCTGGAAAAACTGCAGCATTTTTATTACCTTTAATGCAAAGATTTGGAAACACTAAAAGTTAAAAATATTCAAAAGCTTTAATTGTAATGCCTACAAGAGAATTAGCATTATAATGTTATGAAATGTTTTAAAAATTAAATTAATTTTCAAATTCTACTGCTGCCCTTGTAATTGGAGCTGTTCCTATCTAATAATAAGAAGCAGAATTAAGAAGATATCCTGATATAATTATTGCTACTCCAGGAAGAATAGTTGATTTAATGAAAAATTCATTTAGTATTGATTTATCAAGGTAATTTATTATCACATTATATTATATAGTATAGAAGTACTTGTTTTAGATGAAGCTGATAGATTAATGGAAATGGGATTTGAAGCAGAAATTAAAGAAATATTATAATAAACACCTAGAGATAGATAAACTGTTTTAGTAAGTGCTACATTAAAAGCTACTGTTAAATAACTTTCATTATTGGCTCTACATAAACCAGTTAAAGTTAGTGTTGATTATGTTGATGGTTTAGCTTATGGTTTAAAGTAATATATACTTAGAATAGATTCTGATGATGAAAAAGATAGAGAAGCAACGTAAATTAATATATATATATTAAATTAGACTTCTTGCTTTATTGTAAAAGAAATTTACTGAAAAAACTATTATATTTGTTAGAACTAAACATGATTGTCATAGATTATAAATTCTTTTAGGTCTAAAAGATTTAAGTTGTTGTGAATTACATGGAAATTTAACACAATAATAAAGAATTTAAGCTTATGAAGATTTTAAAGTATCTTATTTATTTTTATTATATTTAAGGAAGGAAAATACTAGTATTTATTAGCTACTGATCTTGCTGCAAGAGGATTAGATATTGCTAATGTTAAAGCTGTCATTAATTATGAAATTCCTTATGAAACATCAAGATATATTCATAGAGTTGGTAGAACTGCTAGAATTGGAAATCAAGGTGTTTCTGTGACAATTTGTTTAAAAAGAGAAGTTTCTTAATTTAAATAAATGATTAAAGAATCTAAATAAAAGTTATTTAAATTAAATTTCAATCCAGAATCTATTAATGAAATTAAATAAGAACTTAAATAATTAGAATCTAAAATTAAAAAGATTATTAAAGAAGAAGTATTTGAAAAAGAAATTCATTAAACTGAAATTTTAGCATAAAGAGCATAAAATCTAATACAACATAGAGTTGAAATTATGAGGAAACCTAAAAAAGAATGGATTTAATCAGCATAATAAAAGAAACTAAGAAATCAAATATAAGAAGAAGATGATTGATTTTTTTGTTTATATTTCGATAAAATTAACATATATATATTCTTTATATAAAAAGTTTAGTTTTTTTATTTCAATGATTTTGTGAATCATTACTGAGATAACTTACATTTACATTGTCTTTTACTTATTCATTAAGTCTACAATTCTCTTCCATTAATGCTGAATTACTTTTTGTTAATCGATCAATTTATTCTTCTAATTATTTAACTAAATTTATTTTTTAAAAATACTTTATATTTATTATTCCATTATTAAAATTTTATTTTATTCTAAATCATTTTATAATTAACATATTAATTCATCTTTATTTTATGTAACCAAACCACCTTAATTTTTTAATTACTCTTATAATATTTATATTTATTCTTCTAATTTTTTATTTTTTCTATTATTTTAATTTACTTGACTATCTTTTATAGATAATTATTAAGATTTTCTTAATATTTCATTTTCTAATGTTTCAATCTTACTCTAATATTCAGATAACTATTATTCATATTATTAGTTTTATTTTTTTAGTTTAAGAATGTCCTCTTATAATTATTATTTTAAATTTATAAATTCTTATTCTTTCTATACATCAATTGAATCTGAATTTTATATTATTAATTATTATAAATTCTTAATTTTTTCATCTTTCTCTTATATTTCTTAATTTAATTAATTATTATATTCTGATAATTCTTCATTTTATTATTATAAATCTACAACTTTTGTTATTTATAATCTAATTTCATTATTTAATCTTAAGTTAGATTATTCTAAACCTTATTTCATCATCAATTCTTCTTCCAATCTATCAATTTATTATTATAATTCATTTCTAATAGATTACTTTTAACACGGTAAACTTCTTGATTTTATATTATCTTAATCTAAATTATGAATTTCAGAATTAGAAAGATTATTAGAAATAGGAATCATTTATATTTATTATTCATATTCTTATTTCTATTTTTATATTACTTATTTTAATTAATCTATTTCTTATTTTTATATTTTATTTTCTTAAACTATTTCTTAAAAAGTTTATTCAAAATATTAATATTATGATTATCTTTTTTTATCACTATCATAAATATCATGTGATTAATATTGATGTTATAAAATTAATTCATTATCTATATTATATTTTGAATTGAAACTTTTATTAATGAGATATGTTTCTGAACTTCTATCTAAAGAAAATGATTTATCTTATTGTTCTTTTAAATCCTCATATAATTTATTAATTTGTTGTAATAATCCATCATTTTATTTAGTCAATGTTTTTATTTAATCTTACTATTTCTCTATTAATTAATTTTTTTAATTTATTGTTTATTCATATTAAATTATCTTTTCATTTAAACCTTAATCGAATGGTTTACATAATGAATTATTTTTTGATCTTACAGGAGATTTTTCTCTACTTATACTTAAAATTTATTATTCCATTTAAGCAAATTATTCTTATAAACACTCTATTTATTAATTTAATTGATTTTTCTCTAAAGATTCTTGATTTAATTTTTGATTCAATTATGGAATAATCTCATTTTAATATTTATTAATTTATTAATTCAATTAAGTAATTTAGTTATTCAAATTATTAATTTATTGATCTTTTTTTAAAATTTGATCATCTAAATTTTTGAATTTTAAATTCTATTATGATATTTCATTATCTTTATTTTATATTTATAAAGTCAAATCATTAAACTTCTTTTTTTAACTTACATTTTTTTATTATTCATTATCAAGTTCTTTACTTAGATATTAACTTTATTATTAGAGCTAATTTATTTATTAATCTTTTTCTTTTAATAATATTTGTAATTCTTATTTATATTATTCACTAGTATGTAATTTAATTTCGAATTCATCTTTCTTATTTTATTAAATATCAAAATTACTTTTTAAATTATCTATAACTTTTTATTATTATTCACATTAAATACTTAATTTTATTTTATCTTATTCTATTTATTAGTATTTTCTTAATTATTCATTAAATTCTTTATCTCTATTAATCTATTATATATTTTATAATTCTTGTATTTTATTATTTAATTGTTAATTTTCTCTTTATAATTTTTCACCTTCCAATTATAATTACATTTTTAATTTAGTAATTGATTTATTATTTTCAATTTATTCATCTAAATCTAATTACAAATCTTCCATTTATTTTTATTACTTTTATATTATATCAGATAATTCTATATTTTCTTATGTTAATTCTTATTTAATCTCTTTTATTTAAATTAATTCATTTTCTAATATTGATAATTTTTCATATTATTTCTATGTTTATTCTTTTCTTATTTTTTCAACTTATTATTAACTTTAAATAAATTCATGTTTATAAAATTCAGAATCCTACATTGTAATTTGTAATTTTCCTTTGATTAATTATATTTCTTTTTAATAATGTAATATTTCATCTTCTAATTACATTAATTTAGCATTTTCTTATTATTTTATAATTTATTATTATTAATATTATGCTTATTCAAAAGATTAAATTTAAATTCTAAGTGATTTTATTTCATTTTATAATTCTTGATTATCATTTTCTCTAACATCAATATGAGATTTAGAAAATGAATGAGAAATATTTGTCATTTTTAACTCTTACAATTCAAAATTCAAATTATTTAATTGTAAAGCAAGTCCTTTATTTTATTAAATTAATTGTTCAACTTAATTAGATTTCATAAATAAATCATTCTCTTATTATTAATAAACTTAATCCTTCTTTCTTAATTCTTCTTATATTCTGTTAATTTATAGATCTTTTTCTTTTAGTTATTCAATTAATTTATTAATTTATGTTTCAAGTCTAGATTTTATTGAATTGTGTACTTCATTAATATTTTTATTTTCTTATCCTAATTTACTAATAACTTATTATAATTCTATCATATTATTTTGACTATTAGTTTAAATAATCTATAACTAATGAGTTTTATCTGCTAATTGATTTTTTAATTATGCAATTTCACTTTCTTAACTTTAATATTATTTCTTTTCATTTTAATTGATAATAATTGATTCAGAATATTATTTAGAGTATGTAATTTCTCTTGTAAGTTTATTGTTTTCAAATTAAAGATCAGATAATATTATTTATTATTTTCTAATTTCAGTATCATACTATAATTATAATTTTTAAATCTATTAATTTAATAATCTATTTTCATTTTCTAATTTAAAAATATCTTATTAGTATTTTTAATTATTATCTTCTAATTTATTATCATTTATAATAACTTTATATCTATTTTCATTAATTTATATATTTTATAACTATTAATTTAATTTATCAATATCATTTTGTAATATTAATATTTATCTTGAATGTTATTCTTTATTAGATATTAATTATTAATTTAATAAATCATTTTCATTTTAAAGAGATTTAATTTACTCTTAACATTTAATTTAATTATCCTAATTTAATTATTCTTATCTTATTTCTAATTTTAATTATTAATTTTCATTAAATAACATTTCTTTCTAATTTTCTAATAATTTATATTCTTTTGCCTCATAAACTTTAGATCCTAATACACTTTCACTTATTGATAAATTACTTTAATTTAAATCTTTAAAAGCATTTTATTATGTTTATAATCTTACTATTTCTTCAGTTAAATTCTTATTTTATTATTATAATTATTGAATTTAGATACTAAATTGTCTTTCAGCACTTTAAGGAAATAATTTAAGTGTTCTATTTTCTTCTTATAATTACATTTATTTTTATTTTAATTCAAATATAGAGTTTTCTAATTATTTAATTTTTCCATTTAAATATTCTTTATCTTACATTAAAGTAGAATAATCATCTCTTAATTAAATATTCTCTCTCATTAAATTATCTTTAGTTTTTTAATAATCATCAATTTAATTTTAAAGTAATTTAATTTCATTATTATCTTAATTATTATTTTCTATTTCTCTTATTTAATTTTTATATTTTACAATTTCTTATTCTAATATTTTGATTTTATCCAATTATTAATTATCTTTTTATAATTGAATATCTAATTTAGATTATATTTCTTCATTCTTTTTTTTAAATATAATACATTATTATTCTAATTCTTTATATTAATCACTATTAAATATTTTAGAATTTATCATATTATCAGTGAATGATTTAGATGAATTAATGTCAGCTAGATTTCTAATTTATTCAGTAAGATGTGTATTTTCTTCTACTAATCTTTTATTTTATTTAATTAATTATTCAAATTATTTTTTAATTTGATTAGAATCCTATAAATCATTAGTTAATTTTTCTATTTTCTTTTTCATCTTTGAAATTTCTAAATTATGTATTTATTACATTCTTTCAATTTATTATTCTAATTAATTATTAACAACATTATCTTATATTTATGAATCTTTCATTGTACCTTATAATATAGATGATTAATCAAATTTCTCTCTTAATTATCTAATTTCTTCAAATAATTTCAAATTTTCCTCTAAATATCTTTTATTAGTTTCAGTTAACTTCTATATTTACAAATCTCTATCTGATTATTATTTCTATGGTTTTATTTATTTCTTTTTAGATAATTCTTCTTCTAAAATAGATACTTTTTTTTATAAATATTAATTTTCCTATTCTAATTATTCAATTTTAGTTTTCATAACAGGATCTTCCATCATAGACATAGACATACTAATTCTACTCATATTTTTCATCATTTCTAATTCTAATTATAATTCTTTAATTTTATTTGTTGATGTTGCTATTTCTTACATTAATTTCTAATTAACTTATAATAATCTCTCTTTTTCTGTATCATTATTTTAAGTTATTGTTTTTGAAGATTAACCAAATTTTTATTATTTATTTAATTCTTCTTATAATTTTAATTTTTCATTATTACATTCTTATAATTTCTCTTAATATTATTTTAATTTCAATTCATCCAAAAATTAAGATTAAGATAATGATTTATCACATTTATCATTCTTTTCATTCAATGCCATAGTTAATCTACCATTTTAATTCATCAAATCAGTTTCTCTCTATTTTAATGTATATACTTCATTTTTTAATGATTATATTAATCTATCCATACTATCTAATTAATCTTTTGTTGCAACATTAGATCTACTATTCATTTCTATTATATTATCATTATAATACCTAATTCTTTATTATCTTTCATTAATTTATCAATCTATTATTGAAATTTCTGTTTCTCATTTTAAAGTTGAATTAATTCTTATTTAAGTTGATTTATTTATATTTAATTATTTTATCTAAAGTCTTAACTAGTTGCCATCATAATATTAGATTAAATTGGTTCAAATTTTTTAATTGGCATAACTGATTTCTCATTTATCAATTACAATAATTAAGCATTCAATAATTATTAAAAGTTAACTTACTTTTAATTCAATTTTCCAATATTATAAGCTATAAATTTTAAATGTACTCTCTTCAAACATTACATTGAAATAAAAAACGCACAAAATGCATCTAATTTATATTTACTTATATTACCTTTATCATCTTTACATTTAAATTTCATTATCTAATTATTAAACTATACTTATAGTTAATTCTAATTTGGAAGTATATATTAATCTGCATATTCAATTTTTTATTAGGTTGTACTATTTTCTAAATATTCTAAAGAAAATATCCAATTCTAATCATTACAAATAATCTATTATCTAACATAATCTCCTCTATAGTTACTTCATATTATTGTGATATAATTAGGAGAGTTTATTCTCTAATTAAGTGGAAATTTGAATTTTTTGAAATTCTATTGTTGCCTATCCTTCATAGCCTGATTCGAATGGTTGTACAATTGCCTCAATCTTATAACCAATATCGAATATGCTACATGGATAAATATTGCCCTATGTCTCAATTTTAATTCGTTCATTATCTAATTTCTTAAACCATTAAAATTTGCATCCTAATGGTATTTAGTTAATTTTTGATGAGAATGCATTAATTGTAATGTTAATTGTTTCATTTAATTATGATGCTTAGATTTCCAAATGATAGTTAAAGTTCCCCTTAATTTAATAATTCATATTAAATAAATGTTATTTTAACATGATTCAGATTTTTTCATTAAACCAAATGCATTTCTTAAACTACTCAAATAAGGAAATCCAAAAACTATTAAAATGAAAAAAAGAAAACCTTAAAATATTATAGGAAATAGAAAATAATTGAACACATTACACTTCTCCAAACCTATTTTTTTATTATAAATTCCTGATGAATCAAAAAGTAATAGAAAATTAAGTAACAATACTTTTCATAATGCTTAATCATAAATTACAGATAAAAAAAAGATAGTATTATCTTCATCAAAAGAATCTCATCTTGATTATAGCATATAAAATTATTAAGATTATGAAATTCCTTATGAAATACATACTTAAATGCCTACTTCTTAGATAAATCCTAAATACATAATATAATAAAAATAAGGTTGTAATTTGGGTAGACTACCTAATTTTAAATTATAAATAATCAATCAAATTCCAAATCTAAGATAATAATAAATGATAATGAAATAATTATGATTATATATAATTAGCATCAATTTTTTGATTCTTACTACTCCTTTTATGCTTCAGCAGCTTCTAAAGGATTATCATAAGCCCATTCATCAAAGTCTTCAATTTCTTGATCTGTAAATTTAGTACTCTAATATATTTCTAATTAATAAATTACTTTTATTTTATTTAATTCACCATCACTCAATGCTCCTGATTTTTTTGCATCTCTTAATTTTTATAATATCATTTTATTTTTCTTTACAGTCTTATATTCATTCTCTGCTAATTATGCTAGTTCTTAATTTTTGGCTTTATAAAATTTGTACATAATCTTAATCTAAGAACATTTAACTAAAAGATTTATACATCTTCACATTTTTTTAGAAGTGGGTCTTCATTGATTTCTGGTTCTAAATAAAAGTAAATGGGCAATTAGAGTTCTTCTTTTGGATTAAGTAGTTATTAATTAAAGCAAAAACATTGAATTTTTGCAAAATATAGTCCTGCATCTTCAGGGAAAATTTAGTATGTTGCAAAACCTTAAATAATTATAATATAAAACCTACTACTGCTTAGTCATTTCTATTATAGGCTCTATAAAAGACTAAGGCAGTTTCTCCTGCATGAACAGTAACATTCTATTAAACAGGAAGAAACTCCCAATTTGCTTCAGGATCAGTTTCAGCTCCAAATTCAATATGAAATTTTCTAAAGACATCCACTTAGAAATAAAAAGAATGATAATACATTTTTTGCCTTTCATTGAATAATCCTTTTTATCATAATCTCCTTCCAAACCAAAATGCTCACACCACAATCTATAAAATGGAACAGCACCAAAAGCACATCCAAAAGCAGCACCATATAAACCAATGTTATATAGTAATTCTTATCTTCTTTTCTTTTTGAAATCTGTCAAATTATGTTAAATGTTAGATCTACGAGAGTGTTTGAATGAATAAAACAATTTAGATAGTTTAAACATTATTAATATAAAAATTGGAATAAAATTGTTAGATATAGTCGAATAAAATAAATCAATCAATTTCAGCCAATAAATCTTCTTCTTCATGTTATAATTGATCAACTAATTATTTATGACTAATATCTTCTTTATTTAAAAACTAAAATTATTAAAATAAAATATTACTTCTTATGCTTCATCAACACTAATATTAGATTTCTAATTCTCTATATTACTAATTAAAGTGATTCCTTATTAAACAATCTAAGCCCAAAAAACAAGTTGACTATATTTCTCTTTAAGAACATGTAAATATTTATTAAATACTGGAGCTTCATCTTCTGTAATACAAGCTTTTCTCATTTCTTTTAGACATTCAAGTGCTTTTGGATAAAAACTACCTTTAAGAGATTGATCAACAAGTTGAATAACCACTTTTTGTATTTATTATAAAGCTGTATCAACTAGATCTATTCTCTTTTCTGTAATCATTTTTTTGAAATCTGATATAGGATCAACAGTTCCAATTTCTTTTATAATATCATCATTAAATCCTAATTTTTATTTAGCAAACATATTAACCATTTCTTCCTCTTCTTAATTAATTTCAACAACTTCATCTTCAACTTATTATTAAACTTATTCTGTTGATTATTCTTCAAATAGTTGTTTCCAAAATACTTTCTTATCTGATTATTTTTTCATTTCATTAACTTTAAATTTAAAAGCAGTTTTAATTTTTTAAAGTGCTTCTTTAGCATAATTATAAACCCTTATTTCTGGATGTAAATACTCTAAAATAAGAGGTGATATAGGAGGTAATACATCAGTTCTAGTTATGGCTTTATGCATGACTACTTATTGAAAATATTATCTAGTTGGATTAGCAACATATTTCATTTTAAGAAGTTCTTCAAATTATCCATCTTCTGTAGGCATCTTTTCTAAATCCATACTATCAATCATAGCAGAAACTGCCATTTATTATGGAGGAGTAGATCTCTTTAAAGCAGCAAATTGAAAATGTCTTATATCTTCAGTTGTAGGTAATGAGATCATCCAGAAACACTATGAATTTTTTGATTTATGTGGTAATAACATAATCAATTTAGGTGCTGTTTTTTCTCTGCCTACAAATCTTGCTATGGCTACTTTTCTAGTTGCTATTAGTGCAATAACTAAAGCAGCTAAAGCTTTTTGTTATTTCTGATTTTCTACTGCAATGACCATATCAACAGTTGATATATAATAATATCTAGGTATATGAGATCGATCCACAAAACCTAATAATTAAAATTAACGAGGACATTAATATTTCATTTTATCTTCCATTATTTAATCTACAGGAACTAGATTTCTACCATATTAATATCCTCTAATAATATTGTCTTTTTCTATTGGTGTCATATTAGGATCTTCTGGATTATAATAGATAAGATCATTTCTAACATGATTCTTATGAATATCAGTTTGAAATTCACCAAGAGTAGAATGTTTTTTAAGATTAGGTAATCTTTCTTCAAAACATCTTTTATATATGAGTACTTGAATAGATATTTCATCATTAATTTAAAAATCTCCTCTGAATGATGCTCTTGCTTATAATGATCTAGTATGAAATTAAGAATATAATTCAAATGCAACATTAGCTGGAAATATTCTCATATTATTTCTTAATTCTTAAACCATCAAAAATACATAACGAGAATTAATAGATTATTCTTAACATTGATATGAAGCTGTAAGCATTCTATTATTAAGAGCTTCAAATTCTTCAGGTTTATCAGGATCATCCATATCTCCATTATAATCATTCATAAAATCAAGTGCAATAAAATTAATTTTAACATCTACTTTTTCAATCATCTTAATTAATTTAGTTATCTATTTTTCACTATAATCAGTTTATCCACAACCAGCTGTTAATATAAATATCTTCTTTTCCATTTTTTTTGTTTTAGCATGATCATCTAATGCATGTACTGCTTTATCTAATGCATCAAATATATCTCCACCTACTTATTATGCAACATCATGATTAGGTAAATCACTAAGATTTCTAAAAAAATCTAAATCTGGAATTGATAAATCTTAGATGTACAATGTTTTACCATCTGGTGCTTCTTCTGTACCAAATAAAATTAATCCAACTTCATGATTCTTATAATTAAATATCTTTTATTAAATCATCAATCCTAAACAATCTACTGCCAATTCTAATCTGCTTAACTTCTTATTTCCACCCTATTAATATTGACTATACATTGATGCTCCAACATCTAATAATATTAAAGTAGCTTCTCTTCCAGACATATTTTCACTTATTTTTTATATCTCTATAAATTCATTATTATAATTTGTATATTCAAAAATTGTATGTATTATTTATCTTTATTAATGTAAAATTCTTAATATGAAATTATCATAGAGTATATTAAATCATTACTCTGTCCAGATCACAATTTACCTATTAAATATATCAATTATTCCACTGATGTCAAAATTGGAAATAGGCTAATTTGTTCATAATGTGGAAAAAATGGTTTAGATGGTTATTTTGAAATTGAAGCTGCTATACATATTATTAATTAACCTAAAATCTCTTAACCTATAACAAATGCTTGTTTATAATTATCCAATTATATTGATGGAATTAAAACTAAAGTTGATTCATTAACTAACTAATAAATATATTTCTTAAAAAATACATAAAATAGACAAGGAATTACTAAATTTTAAGAAGAAACTCAAAATTATTCTCTAAGCAATCATAATGAAAAAAAAACAGAAAAAATAATTAAATAAGGAAAAGATGCAATTGAAAATTCTATTAGATATCTTGAGAGATTCTAAATGCAAATGTTATCTCTATTAACTCATTAATTAAATCAATTTAAAAATTTTACAGAAATCCACAAATAAGAATATTAATAAAATATATTTGTAGAAACAAGTATTTAAGATTATGAATTTTTTATTTATAGTTCTAAATTTCTAGAAGTATTTACAACATAAGATAATTAAATTAATAGTATATAGACTATCGAATCACCTAAAACTAAAATTACTTGTATTATCAAAGCTTAATAAAAATAAATGTTTTTTTTAGGTAGATAAGATGGAATTGTTGAAGTATATGAATAATTAACAAATGGAAAATATATATCATCGCATTAAATTTAAGCACATTCTTATAATCCATCATAAAATTATAATGGAGTTACTTGTATTATCACTAATTAAGATAATTCAGAAATTATTACAGGAGGATAAGATACTCTAATTAAATAGTGGAAATTTAGAAAAAACAAATGGAATCTAATTTCTCAATTATCTGAACATACAGGTGTTATAAATTCTTTATGTTATAGTCTAGATTTTAATATACTCGGATCTACAAGTTAGGATTATTCTTTTTCATTATTCAAATCATCCTAAGATGTTTATTAAAAATCAATCTAGGAAATCAAATAATCACGTGTTAATACTATTTGTTTTGTTACTTCTACTAAATTTTTTATTTCTCTAAATTAAGATAGAAATATCTATTTCTATTAAATCATTAATCCATTATAATAACAATATTAAATCGAATAGTTATATAATATTAGCCTCAATGAAATCAACACTGATATACATATTAATGTTTAACCAAGATTTTATTAACAATAAAATTTATTGATATTCTAAAGTAATTCGCAAACCTATCTTATAAGTGATAAAGATTCAAACAAATTTAAAATCATTTTGATTGAAAAATAAAATTCACTTAAAGGAAATATTTTTCGACTATTGCGATTTGGATAATTAGCTGTTTAGGTATATTAAAAAAATCTAAAATATTTTTTAAGCCTTACTTAATTTGAATGAAATAAATATAAATAAAATATGCACATAAATAATTATAATTTACAATTTTATTTCAAATTATTATCTAATTAATATTCCAAAATAAATATTATATATAACTGGACTGAATATAATAATACAAAATAATAAAATATAATTAATATCTTCATATTTAAATTGATTTTATTAATGGAAATTTTAGTTTTAAAATGGATTAACAAAAATAACACAATGCACTTGTACAAAAAATGATAAAAAACACTAACACATCAACATGCCTAAAACTAAAAGTAATATCAAAATAATTACATTTCTTCTTCAATATCTACAATTGAAAGCCAACTTCTTGTATATTTGTTAAATGTTACAATGATTGCTATGATTAAACATAAAACAATCCATGATAATAAAGAGTAATTTAGATACAATGGCTCTAATGATTAAATATAGAATATACTTTTAAAAGGATTTGATTAGTAAAGTATGATACAAATTATCATATTATAATATTGATTTACAATCATCATTACAGAATTTAATGGACCTTCTTTTAAATAAGAATCAATAGGATTTGGTAAAGTTGGAGGTTCAGAATTATCAATAACTATAAAAAATATGATTAAGCAACTAAATGAAGTTAGTATAAAAATATTATAAAACTACAATTAATTATTGATAGCAAATATGTTATCATTAGGTATTGCATCAGTTAATTTATCTTCTCTTAAAGATAGCGTCAATAATATAAGGACTGGAATGCTTGACAAATAATTCATGTAAATATATTAAAAATCACCAAAATTCATTCCTTAAAATTATAATAAAGCTGTTCCTGTAAATTTAAGTACACTAATTAAAACATAGTATTAAAATATTTCAATAATAATACTTTTAGTAGATCTACCTTATAATAAGATTAATTTAACACATTAAATTGAATCCTTTTTATAACTAAATGGAGATGTATATGAAGCATCACTTGAATTGAATGAAACACCAACTAAAGCTTCTGCTATTGCTGACTAAATTAAAATAAATTAAATACACAATCATTTGCACCATCTCCTACCATCATTACATTTTTATTTAGTTAATTTTACAAGTATTATACAATTTCTTTTTTTTAATTAGGTTTCATTCTTGTAAAAATTTTAGTCTTTCTGACTAAATTATTTAAACAATTAATAAATTTGATATCAATTTCATCTGTCTATCTCAATTATTTGTAATATGATTAATCAATACTTTAATTCAAAGAAATATCATTTACTTTATTTGATAAGAGATATCCCCATAAATTACCTGTTATAGCAAAATCACAATTTCTATTTAAAATTAATTCTAATTAAATAATAATGAAATTAAATTAAGATCCTAATTTTGAATCTAATTATGTTTTAGTTTAAAATTATTAATTTAAATCTTATAATAAGAGTATCTCTTATTAATCATCATAATCTAAAATAATAGTATTTTATTTATTCTTAATCAAATTTGATTCATAAGCACAATGAACTGTTGTTAATGGATTATCTCCTGAAATTATTCTTAAGTCTAAATTTGATTTTAATAATTCTTCTATAACTTAAGATGTATCATCTTTAAGATAATTTTTTAAAGTAAATAATCCTATAAAATTTAATTAATTTTCCAATATATTTCTATCTAAATCAATTTAATCAAACATTAATTATTTTTAAGCTAAACCAATAACTCTTAAACCTTAGTATGTTTATTATTGTAATTAATTTAAGAGAGATTAATCAAACTATTTATTTGATAATTCAATCAACTTTTCTGGTGATCCTTTTACAAATAAATAATATTAATTTTCTAATTCATTAAAAACAATTACACTCATTCTTTACAAATGAGAATTAAATTCAAATATCTTTATCACTTAAAAACACTTTTAGTTTTTTGAAACTTTAAAATATTTTTAATTATCAAAATTGATATCATAATCAGCTAATTTAAACATTTCTAATTCTAATGGATCTCCACTTAATTCTGAATTAATAATTGTTAAATGATGACAACAAGCCATTATTTCTAACAAAGAATCTTAATGTGGTATATAATCATTAGCTTATAATCCTAAAGTAGATAGTGTTCCAGTTTTATCAAAGCAAATTGTGTCAATTTTACCTGAATCTTCAGTTTTTATAGGATTTGATCCTACTATATCTATTTATTTTAATTTTAATAGAGATATAGTTTAATTTAATGAAAAGAATATAGGTAAAGCAGGTGGAATTATCCAAGTTATTGCATCAAGATATCTAACAATTATGAGTTTAATTGAATAATGCATGTATTAATATTTTACTATAAGTAATAGTGTGAAAATAGATAGAATAATAAGACCCAAAATAATTAAAAATTTACATGCTTGTATATAAAATACTCTAGATGGAAGAGGAGGAAATAAAACGTTTCTAAAATATTATCCTCTTAATGAACCATATCCAGTTCTAATTACTAATCCTATATTTTATTAATATGGTGATATCTTAATCACTTTAGTACCTTCAAATAGTGTATGTTCATAAATATCATTTGATAATTCTTTTATGGCTTGTTTAGGAATTGGTACTGTTTCTCCTGTTAAAGTAGCTTCATTGACCATTACATCACCTTGTATTAGTAAACAATCACAATTCAATTGTAGATGTTCTTCAATAAAGAATTAATCTCCAACTATTAATTCACTTCCATCTATTATTTTATTATCAATTAATTTAACATTTTATTTAATATTTGCTAATTATTAGAGTTATATTCTAGATTTTCTCATTAGAAAATAATTAATTAGACAAGCTAAAAATGAAAATGAAATTAAGACAATTGAAAACATAATGAAACCTAATATAAATGAAATTAATCAATACCCTCAATAATCCATAAGAGAACAGAGAAATATTATAACATATAAAATGGACTTGTTAACTCTTAAAATAAATAAGTTAATAATGATTATATTGGAACCTATAATTTACTATTTCCATAAATATCATATCTTAATTAATGACTTAAATCAGTGTTAATTAGCATTTACAATTATCTTTATTTAATTTCTACTGTATTATGTTTTAGAAAATCAACAGGTTGAAATGAGTCATGATTCAATTAATACTTTAAAAATCAATCTAATAAATGTTATGAATACCTATAGATAAAATAAGAAGTGTTATTAATTACAATCTTTTTACAAATACTCTATTAATTATATGAATTAGTAACTAGATAATGAGTGCATTATTATTCATCAATCTTAATAAATAGAATAATTCTATAGAGTTTATTGTTCCATTTCATTAATAATGCAAATAGAGAACAAGTAATAATGGATAGTATGATCTTGATTATGAATATAAATATTACAGTAACTAAAATTCTAGATTTGCTTAGAATGACAGGAACAACTTCGATTAGTGAATGCTATCCTTCAATATCAGATGATTTAACTTTAAATATCATATATTTATATTATCTTAATTCATTTGAGTATTTTTTTAACAATATCTATATATAGGAATTTTCCCTCGTTTTTAGGATCTATGAATTTCATATATTCATCAGCCTCATCTTCATTAAATCTATAGCCCATTGTCATTAATAATTCTTTGAAATATTCACTCTAAATATATCCTGTGTTTTCCAAATCTACAGATTTAAAAGCTAAAATGATTAAATATTATACCTTCAATTAATTATTCTTCTCTATCTTATTCTCTTTTCTTTTTACTAACTAAAATGAATAAAGCATCAGATCTTATTCCTTATCCTTCAGAATCTTCAAGTTCCTTATATAATTCACTTAATTCCTATTCTTCAAAAATATATCCTATAGATGTCAATAATTCTTATAATTCAGTAAAATTAATTCTTTCATCACCATCTCGATCAAATAATTAAAAGTTTTCTCTATATTTCTTATCTTCTGCATCTGAGAATAATCTACCTTCATTATCGTAACTGATACTTTTTAAAGTTGTCATCAGAATACAAATGGCTTTTAAGTTCTTCAATTACTATTCTTGGTTCAATCTTAGGTAATCCATCATTTAAAGACACCTTCTCTTTTTGTCTTACTTGAGATAAATTAGTTTACGTTTAATTCATATTAATTAATTATAATATTCATTAATCATCCATTTAGAACATAATCCAGATTTTTGTATATCTTGACCTACAATAAAGATGGACCTAAAATAACACATTATAAGTCTACATATATCTTAAAAGAATGAAGTAGTAATAACTTCTGCTTTTGGTCCTACTATTTATAATCCTTTATATATCATTTAGATTATAAATGTATTTTATCGTAAGAACTCTAATGAAATGAATCCATCAATATAAAAATTAAAAGCAATACATTGATCAATGTCTATATTGCTTAATTCCACTTTAATGTGTTTATGAGACTTTTATACGAGAAATAAATATAAAAGATTAGAGAATATAAATTAGATAATATGCTATATTGATGTAATAACAAAAAGCTCTGTAGAATTAGATTCAAATTATATTTATTTATTTTCCATATCAGCTACATTGTTCATAATCATTAAAGATTAATATATAATATTCTTTACAGAAAATGTTTCTAATTCTTAATATTTAATTTTAAAATAATAGATTTAAAAGGCATCCAAGATCATTTTAATTTTTGTATTTGAAATAATCTATCCACTTATTAAAGATTCACTAACTTTTAAATAATATTTATCATCAGAATTTTATTATAATTAACATAATTAGTATAATTATTTGTTTGTTCTCGAATTAATTTTATCTAATCTACTAGATAATAATTTAATTTCCTACTCTTTTAATTTCAATTAAACATTATCATGCAAAATATCTTATTTTTATTCCATCAACATTAGTAATTCTCTACTCTCATTTTAATAAGCAAAAACTTTAAGATTATATAATTATTTTGAATTATTTTTTTAAATGGTTAATTCTAACTTTTTTAATGGTGTTTTGGATGTAATCATTTTTTCATATAATAATTATCCAATATTTATAGAATCTAAACCTGTACTATGTTGAATATTCTAATTTAATTTTAAATGTCCTTTTGGTAATTATGTTGTATCATAAGTTGAATATTAATGTAAGAATTCTTTAAAATCTTGATTGGATGAGATTCCAAGTCTCTACTCTGCATAATGGTTTGCATATTTTAATTCAAATTAAAATGATTTTTAATCAAATTTAAAGTGTATATAAATATCTTAGATTATTTCATTTAAGACATTTCCTATATTAATAGTAATAAGATATTTACTTATTTCTTTTTCATTTTAATATTAGATAAATAATGTTCTCTTTACATATGATTTTTTATACAGAAGTATAAATAAATAAAATGATACAACTATGTATAGAACTGCCATTCCATCAAAAGTAAAGTAAAATAGAATGTAAATTAGACGAGAGATTGTAACTAAAATTAATGCAAACACATTCCATAAAAAATCATAATGCTCTAATAATGTAATATTGATAATTGTTATTCCACATCCTGATACATATAAATTATCATAAGAAGGTGTATTTCTATCCACTAGAATCTAAATACCAGTCATAATTAGATTATTTATCACAAATATACCACAAATATTCTTTCCTTTACGAAATTTTACAATAAAAGGAATTTGTAATATAAAAAACAAAGTAGCAATCGATTCTAATACTCCATTTGTTATCTAACCTCCTTTAAGTTGTATTATGGCAACACTTAAATTAATGATAATTAAGATCGGTTGATAACATTTAAAATGAAAGAGGCATGATTCTCTAGTAAACTCTTCATATTTTTTCTCCAGTTATGATGGAAACCTTAATGTAAATTTGTTCATATTAATATAATAATAAATCCTCAGTAGATTATTTCATTTATACATTTATTATGCTCTTACATATAATTTAATTATTCGGTGTTGGGACTGGATAATTTCATTACTTATAAATTAATGTATCAATTAATCTTTATATATATTGTAACAACAAATTTTTTGTTTATTATCATAGTTAACCTATAGCTGTTTCATCTTTTTGGTTCATTATTAATTCATTATAAAAATGGTTTCTGCCTTTTCAATTGGTTAAGCAAAAAGATCTGATCCATCCATTAAAACATTAGCACCTGGCCCCAATGCTTATTTACCAAAATTACTTCCCAAGTAATAAGCCCCATAGTGGACGTATATGAATATTAATAATATAGGATTGGTGGAGCAGCACAAAGAATAGGAAGATCAACTTCTTATGGACCAGGACCAGGCCAATACCAATATTAATAAAAAGTCATAGAAGGACCTAAATATTCAATAGTTGGCAAACATTAAACCAAATAAATTTCTCTTTCTCCAGGGCCTGGAAATTACAATGATGAAAGTTTTTGCTCCATCTATAGAAAACCACCTATGTATACGCTTGGAATAAAGCATTATACATCTGCAAAAGAGTTTTTGCCAGGCCCTGGATAATATGATCTCAATAGTTCATATGTGTCTAATAACTCTATTAAATTTCCGACTTAACCTAGACTAACATCTTTAGAAGGAGGAATGTCTCCTGGACCTGGATGTATAATAATTATTAATTTAGAATACAACATCGATAAGGCAGTAAAGTTGGCTATGGAGAAAACTTAACCTTCTTGGATAATTGGAACATCCTAAAGATAACAAGAATTAAAGAAATCTCAAATAACTCCAGGTCCAGGAGCTTATTAATTGAGTGTTTTGTTAAATCTTAAAAAGAATTTTACTATCAAATAAAAATTGTAATTGAAAGATCCAAATGTATCTGCTCCAGGACCTGGTGCATATGATTCAGATTTTTCTATTATAAAATCTCATTATCCTACTTATAAGATTGGAACTGAATAAAGAAGTACTAAGAATTTACTTGATAAATTTTTGCCTGGACCTGGTTAATATTATAGAGAGTATACCTTTTTCTTATCAACAGGAGAATAGATAGTTTGAGTTCTTTACAAAAATCAGCTCCATCATTTAAAATGCCATAAGCCTTAAGAAAAGATCTTAATGACTCAATTACTATTACTCCAGGTCCAGGCTAGTATTAAATACCAAAAATACGAGACAGTCAAATGATCACAATGAAGGGTTTTAAATACAATCCAAATAATTCTGTTCATTTTCCTGGACCTGGGTAATATAATCCTGATGATTCAATGTGTAAACTAAAGGATGGTTCAGTTAAGATAGCTCCTGAATAAAGATCAAAAGCATTGTTAACTCAATATGTTCCAGGACCAGGTTCATACTCAATGAAATCTACTCTCGAAGGACCTTCTTGGGGATTCAAGAAAGAAATTAGATCTACTTTAATTAAAAAGGATTTTAATCCTGGGCCAGGATCTTATAATATTCCACCTAAATTTAATGATGTTCCTAAATATTTATTATAGAAATGATTATTTCATTTTATATTAATTTAAATGATTAATAAATGCCTCAAATATTTTTATATAAAGCAACACACTTTAATTTCAATTGAAGGTAATATAGGATCAGGTAAAAGTACACTTCTCAAATTAATGTAACAGAAATACCCTTAAGTAAGTTATCTAAACATATTTTAAGATGCATTATTTACCTGAACCAGTTAATGAATGGTAATAGATTAATGGAAATCCAAAACTCAATTTACTAGGATCTTTTTATTAAGATCCACATAGGTGGGCATACACTATGCAAAATTATGCATTCTATAGTAGATTAAAACATTGGAAAACAGTTATGGCCAATTTGAATGAATCAATTATTTTAAGTGAAAGGAGTATTTAAGCAGATAAAGAGATATTTGCAAAAAATGGTTATATCAATGGATTAATGAATGAAATGGAATTTGCAATCTATGAATAATTTTATAATTGGTTGGTTCAAGAAGTATTTGGAAAATAGATTGCAAAATAATTGATTGTTTATCTATAAGTGAATCCAAATGTTTGTTTATAGAGAATGCTTAAAAGATCTAGAAATGAAGAAAAAGTATATTAAATATACAATATTAGAATTCTATTTCTAAAGATTATTTAGTATAAATTCATTAAAGACATGAAGAATGGCTTATAAATACATAAAATTAGAATTAGAAAGTTTTAATTTTAAATGGAGATAAAGAATTTGAAGGGGATCTTAAATAACAATAAATAATGTTTGAATAAATAAATCAATTCTTTTCTGGATTAGTCTGATTACATTTATAAATATATTTAAGTTATATTAGTTTAATTAATTTTTATTGTTAATTTAATATGGCCACTAACAATCTTCCAACATTTTATCCAGGATAATAATCAATGACAAATGTTTAACCATCTGTATATTAACAACAAGGAGGTGTAGAATATTGTATATTAATGTAGGACCTATATATTAAGGTAATTAAGGACTTCCATAAGTCTTAGGATCTCCTTCTGGTATTTAGCAAAATCAATAAATAACATATGGAAATTGTATCAAATGCTTTTCATATTAGAATACGGATTAAATGTGCCCAATTATGGTGTTCCATCATATTAAACCCCTTAAAGAATCATGTCTTAAAGAGTTATGTAATAATCCCCTTAAGCTATTACATCTCCTATAATTTAATAATAAGCTCCTATGATTCAATAATAAATTCCTATAATTCAATAATCAGCTCCAATTATTTAATAATAATAAGTTTAATCAACAGTGTAATAACCATCAGTCAGTATAAGAATAATAATAAAATTAAATAGTTCATAATGTTGAACATGTACCAGTTATACATGAATTACATCATGTGAATCGTCCAATAAATGTTGTATCAGTAGATGAGATAGAAGGTCCTTGGAGAAGCAAAGTATTATTATTGGAGAAATAATTGATTGAATTATAATTGATGTTAAAGAAGGGTCCAGTGAAGTAAGTTCAATCAAAATAAGTAGTAGTCGAAGATGAAGGGAAGGTATATAAAATAAATTAATATTACCTAAATAGATAAGATAATTACAAAGTGAAATTGAAAGATTATAAGGAATTCTAAGAGAAAACTAGAAAGAGATTGATGAATTACAATAATAAATAAATGATGCAACATATAATTTAGAAAATGCAGAAGAATAGGCATCAGCTTAAGTTGAAGCTTAATCATAAGAATTAGCTAAATGGAAGAAGAAGTTTTCCGAACTGAATAAGAAATTTCATGATATTGAAGAAGATATTACTATGACTGAAGCCTAAATAGAAAGTATTTAAAAAAGAAAAATGATCACTCAAACTACATCTACTGTTAAGACTACTGCGAAGACATCAGGAGTATATAATTTATAATTATAATTAGGGTACTTATGGTGATGGAGATGTCAGAAAGAGTGGTTTTAGCAATAGGAATTATTGATTTATTCAAAAATTATAAACATTTATGCTAAATACAAATTCAAATTAATTTGTTCATTCCAAATTATTATACGCATGTGCCATATCTCCTAAAAGTACTATAGATAATCAAAGAATTATATTGGGGACTATTGGTTCAGGAGGATAATAAATTATATGTAACCTATCAATTCATCTATTTTATAGAATTGTAATCTGCTCAAGAAGGCTACAAAATTAAAACATATCATTTGCATAATGCATTTAGTGCTAAATTATTATTTCTAAATCAAACTGAAGGAAATGAAAGATTTGTATCTGCTGGTGAAAAACTTTAAATATTTAAATCAGAAGACTAAAAAATCAGTCATATTTGTGACTTAATCCCTTTAAGCAAGGAATATGTTGGTCCTACATTTGCTTTAGATTTTCATTATGAATAGTAAAATAGACTAAGTATTTATTTTCTTATATTTGACTTTTAGTCTCTGGTTCTCTAGATCCTACAATAAGGATTTGGGATCTTGAAAAGAGAAAATGTTAATATTAATTTATAGCATATGACATATCCAAAGAGCCAGATTAATATACTTTAGATTTAAATGTAGGTCGTGATTCAAACATCTTAGCATTTCTAAATAATTATAATTAAATTGGTATCTATGATATCAGAACTAAAATGGGTATGCACAAAATTAAAGGCAAATTATAATACAATTAAGTGATCTGGAATAAAAAATAAGAAAATAACTTAATTGCTATAGATTATGAGGCTGGTCTTATTGATTTTTATGATACAAGAGATTTTAAAAATAAATATAAAAGAATTAGAACTGATCATAGATAAATTGTTAAAGCTGAATGGTTTTAAGATAGAAAGTAATTAAATATTAGATAATAATTAGTTCTTTAGTAACAGCAGGTTTAGATAGATAAATAATTCTTTATGAAGGTGATAAATATCTTGAACCATGCTTTGGATTAACTAAGAATTATGATATAGATAATTTCTGTTGTCAAAATAATCTATTTGGAGTTGTCTCTGAATATTCTTTCGAAGTTTTTAGTTTTGAAACATAATGAATTTTTTATTAAAAATTATTTATGATCAAAAAATTCATTCTTAATTGCCATCTTAATCGATTCTAATTTAGCAATACTTTAAACAATATAAGCAAAACATTATATTTGATAAATTAAAGATTAGGTGAATTAAATACTGAATATGAAATGTATTAAGAACATACAATTAAGTAATCACACTTCATTAATATCTAAGTGGAGACATGAATGAAATAAAAAGAAGAAGAATGAATGAATTACAACCTAAAATACATATCTATAAATAAATTTAAGCAAGTGTATCTGTTATTGAAGATGCAAAATAATTAATTGGTTTGGGTGGATCTTCAGATGAAATATCAATGTTAAATGAAGAAATTTAAGTATTAAATATTATAATTAAATTTAGACATAAATTGAATATCTAAAGAAATATTAGGATGAAGCACTTACATAATTGATAGAATAAGATGAATATGATCACATAAGATAACTTAATGTAGAAGTGAGAGCAGGTGTTGGAGGTAGTGAAGGTTCATTATTTGCTGAAGATATTATTGGAATGATATAGAATTATGCTAGTCTTTAAAATTGGGATTGTAGAGTAATTTTATAATTTTATTATAAGGTAATATCAATACAAAAAGATACTTAGATTGGTAAAGGTTGTAAAACAGGTATTCTATAAATAACTGGTGATAATGTATATTAGTAATTAAAGTGTGAATCTGGAGTACATAAAGTTATTAGAGTTCCAGAAACAGAAGCTAAGGGTAGATTACATTCAAGTACAGCCTCTATGATTGTACTTCCAAAAGTAACAGATAACTTTCATTTAAGTGATAAAGATTTAAAATATGAATTTATGAAAGCAAGTGGACCAGGTGGTTAACATGTTAATAAAACTGAAAGTGCTTGTAGAATCACTCATATTCCAACTGGAATTTAAGTTGTAAATATGGAAGATAGAAGTTAAGAGAGAAATAAATAAAGAGCATATTAAATATTAAGAGATAAATTATTTGCTATTCATGTATAAGAGAAATAAGAAAGAATGGCTTAATCTAGAAAAAGTTAAGTTGCTGGATCTGATAGAAGTGATAAAATAAGAACATATAATTTTCCATAAGAAAGAATAACTGATCATAGAACTAATTTAACAATGTATGGTATGGAAAAAATGTTATCTGGAGAATTATTAGGAGAATTCATCTAAAAATATTAAGAGAAAATTCATAATGCAAAATTATAAGATTTATTAGATGAATTATCAAATGAAAATAAGAAATGATGATTTGATGTGTATGTTGTTTATAATAATATTATATTTTATGTACTATCATTCATTAAATCTTTCTTAGAAATGTCTATTTCTTTTGATTCTATCTTGATAGGCATTTTAATCATTTTAATTATAGATTTCTTTCCTTATTTTATTTAAAAATTATCCTCCTCCTTATTATTATTATTATTTAGGTTCTTCTTCAATTTATTTTAATTATTATTAAAGTCTTTTTTATCCATCAGCAGCCATTTAATTACGTAATTCTTCATGAGATTATGAAGGATTTAAATTATTTCTATATTTTTTTTTCATTAGACTGAAATCTGCTTTAACATTTCCATGTTCATCAGTAACTGCAATATTTCCTAATCTTTCTTTTAAATATTATTAATAAATTTAAGAATGTGATGAACCTGTTGAAACAG